TCCTAGTTCTAGGATGAGTTCTATAGAGTACTTGGGATTAAACTGAAGTTATCTACCGCTAACTATATATAGACCAATAGATAGACCGAAATTATAAACTAGTATATTAACTAGCAACTTTATCCCTTTATTAACTACTACTAGGATAATTAGGATAAACTATTACTAATAGTTAATTTCGCCTAGGCTGTATTACTATATAAGGCTATAGGATAAGCACTTATCCTTACTGAAATAGGCTATAAGCTAAGAACCTTATTTAACTAGACTCCACCCTAACCCGCCTGATCGGTATAGAAGAAGCTAAACTAAGATAAAGCTTAGGTGATGCTTATATAGATATATAATAGATAGGAAGTCGCCTGAAAGAATATAACTTATATATAAGAATAGTACTTAACTTAGGCGAATAAGCACTAATAGGAGATTGATTTTAATATTAGAGATAAAGTCTAGGTTACTATAAAGCACTAGAAGTTGCTCCGACCTAGTAAAAAACTATCTAAGTAGGCCGCTGGACTGTTTACTATCCTAGAATAATATAGTAACACTTTCCAACTTAAACTGCCTAACTCTATTAAGGTCCACCTAGTTTTTAATACTAATAAATTATAGAGGGACCCGGACGACCTATTACTAGGATAGGAGAACCTAGAGCCGCTCCTAATCGAGGTAAATGGCGACTATAAATAGGAAGTTGAGAAGGTACTAGGTGTACGCCTAGTTAATAGAGGACTGAAATACCAGGTAAAGTGGACCGGATTTAATATAGACTTAGATAAATACTTGCTATCTAACTTCTAAAATGCACCGCTAGCACTTTAAAAGTTCTATGACCAGTACTCCTATAAGCCTAGACCACTAAAGAACTTAGGATATTAGACTAAGATAGCTTAGAAGGATAAATTCCTAGAGGAGAGAGATAATAATAATAGACCTAAGAATAGGTCTCATAGGAGGGGGGGTAGTATTATAGATCTAGTTATATAATATATCACGTGATATTAGCATGTCGGCACTTTGGCGTGGCACTAGCCTCTCGCTTAACTAGCCACCCGACTACTAGCTACCTTTCCTAGCCATGGGCTAATTAGCCGAGTGCATATATATTTGCACCTATAATCTATATTCTAGACTTTCTTTCTTTTCTCTTTAGCTTAGAATTACATTTGATTCGACCTTATACTAGGCTATGCCCGCGAGGATTCGTGATTGTAACAGTCGGTATAGCTTTACTTAGAGGTATTATTCTTAGCTATAAAGCCCTAGAATGATATAAGAGCTGTAAAGGTAGCAGATAACTACCCTATAAATAGGATTATATGAAAATATAACAAGATTATTAGTTAGCGGGCGTCTATTTAAGGGAGGCAATGAAATAGTAGGCCTAAGAGAAATTATAATTTTACTAAAAACTTTTTCGCCGGAAACGTGCTAAGTTAGCCACGCCTGGACTAATCACCCTGCACGGATTTCACAATTTCGCCGAAAAAGGGCGCTCACATAAGAGGTAGGATTCTTGCTTCTTATCAGTTCATTTTATAACAACTCTCTTCTTGTGTTTATCACATTACAATTAACCCTAACCCTAAGCAACTATGCGTCCCTTTCCGAACTGTTCTTCGCTTCGATACGTTTTCGTCCAGGTGGGCTTTCATAGTGGCATTAGCAAGATCGCGCGAGATACGATTGCGCTGAGAGAATAGATCCGAGTTGTCGTGTTAGAGCTTTGTTGGATTTCTAATCTCGAGTTTGGACCGAGATGGCACTTCGGCAGCATAGGCAAATTCGACCGAACTAAGCTTGACTTGTGGGGCTTGACCGCTGTCTGCCTGAGGCTACTACACATAGCTAGGACTACCTTGACCAAGCTATATTATCTTCAGATACATATATACCATAAGCTGCCGATCAGGTTCTCTACTAGAGTATTTCAGCCGAAAGTACCGCGGCTTAATGTGTTCGTGAACCCGTTCCCCTTTGTAAATAATGTGACTAGAGGGTTGGGGTAGGTAATGATTACGAACTACTATATCGGCTTATTACCCCACTTACCCCACAGTACCGCAGCCGAACAAGCTCCAAACCGGCACTTAAACAGCATTCTATGGATAACAGGAATGTGAGATCGATCTTCAGCATTTCCAGACCCTTATATAAATTTCAACAAAACTTCGAATCTTAGTGCCAAAAGAATAACTTTCGACGTGGAGAAATCCAAAAATGACCGCCCAAGCAAGCCGACCAGTCGCTATTGTGGGCGCGGGTACCCAAGGACGAAGATTAGCATATATGGTAAGTCAAGACCCATAAACAACAATCCGTGGCTAACAATTTACTCAATAGTGGTCTAGCCGCGGTGGACGGGTCAACCTTATCGATCGTGATGCATCGTGTCTAGAGGTAGCGGGGATAGAAATAGAACAACTTTTGCAAACATGGGGGGAAAGCATGAATCATGAAAGAGGAAAGATTTCTACTTTCATTGCAGACGACATGAAACAGGCGCTGGAAAAATCCTGGTTGATTATAGAGGTGATCAGATTTTCGCACTTCAAAAGTCCGCGGTCCCGCTATAACGCACATTCTAACTTTTGGTCTGCAGTGCGTGCCGGAGTCTTTGAAGTTGAAACGTGAGGTAGTGGCCGAGCTAGACGGAATCGCCGATGCCGATGCGATTATTGCTTCTAATTCTAGTAGCTACACCATATCTGAGATCATGGATGGATTGAGTTTGAATCATCCTGAGCGCATGGTCAGCTTACATTCATGTGAGTTATATGAAACCCTATTGGGCAGCGTCTCTAAATAATCCCTAGATTGGCCTCCAGAAACCGTTGGTATGTCAGACTTCAAATTATAGATCTATCAGTGAAGTAATATTGACAAAGTGCCCGGTATACAGCAATCGAGGTGATGGCTTCGTCTCAGACAAAGGCAGAAATTGTGCCGTTACTAATGTCCGAATGCAAAGTCCACGGATTCTCACCATTCCACGTGAAAAAGAATTCAAATGGGTATATCTATAACAGGTCAGATATTTCAACCTCTCCTTGAACTATTCATGAACCGTCTTAATTTTGCAAACTAGGATCTGGGCTGCTATTAAACGTGAAGCTCTTTTTGTTGCGGCAGAGAACGTAGCATCCCCTCAAGAGATTGACGAAATCTTTAAAGATGTTTTGAAAACGCCAAAGGGCCCCTTTGAACAAATGGATATTGTTGGTTTGGATGTAGTCCGTGATATTGAGGCTCACTATGCTGAAACTCGGACTGGATTGCCGCAAGAGCCAAGAGGATTGCTGGATACTATGATAAAAGATAAAAGGTTGGGTGTTAAGACTGGTGAAGGCTTTTATAAGTATTAAACGATGAACAATTATCAGGACCTTATATCCTTATATGCCTGCCCTCGCAGCCGTGCCACGAGGACTGTAGTTCCAATATTATCTATATTACTTCGCTTATATTGCCCGCGACGAAGCCTATAAGTAGCTAAGATTCCGTCCGAACTTATCTTTAAATACTTTAAACGCGATCACCATTCTCAACTTCACATTCGGACGTTTGCAGAAATTCCACATAGGCGTCCATAGGTCCATGATGTACAACATAGCTAATTTGAATTGCCACTTGAAATCTTCCCCGTGCAGCTTTTGTAATGTATGTGTGTATGTGGCTTTTGGAGGCCGAGAATGGGATGGCTCAACAGTGTCACACCTAGTCATTGGAAGGGCAGGTCTCGAAATCAACCAGAGGCAGGTCTGTTTGCGTTGGTGGTGATTCAAGAATCCGCGCAGCTTCGAGAAGGTGGAAAAATTGTTGGTTATGGCAAACATTCGCCATTCTGTTTATATGAGGATCGTGTAAGCTTGAGGGATACCGGGTATGGTCATGATTTGGAGACACCAAAGTCGGCACAGCCTTGTGGACTTGTTGTGATACGCTGTTCCCGTGGGTGTTTGTACCTGTACGAGCATCTTGAATATTGGGGCTCGTCACCGGCGTTACTGTTGTGGTCGATGCCAACAGCGAAGCGCTAAGTAGACGAGGAGACTGTCTCAGGGAAGGGACAATCTCTGGCGGTGGCATGCTAGAAGTCGAAGATCCATGGTATCGCTGCTGGTGACGGCCGTACAACTCCTTACGAGGAAAGCACGTGGGGCAATTTCGACAACGGTACGGTCGCTCCAGGGTATCTGATGAATTCGAAAGACGGGATAGTATCGTACTCCCAACTTAAGGCAAGATACTTGAAGACAGGTATGAAAATGTGTGTGCTGTCTCTGTTGAACTCACGACGTCGAAAATGGCGCTTCAAATGCTCGGCGCGTCTGAACTTCTGGTTGCATGCTGAGCAGGTAAATTCTTCGGCTTGCCAGAGACGTTACGAGCTGTTACATGCGCAACCTGGACATCACCACCACGGGGCATATTGTCCGCCTCTATCGACAGTGTCCCAGCCATTGCCAATCGACAACACCAGCTGGAGTGGGGTGCCGAGTTGGCGCTTCGCCGAGCAGAAGTCCGTACTGTAAGGGGGGTGGGAGAGTAGGAGAGTAGGAGGATGCGATCGTAACATGGGTCTGGAGTCATGCGAGCAGTAGCGTTTGGCGGGGAAAGCGGGGTGGAAGGCGGGGGCGGGGAATAGGGATTGTCAGGTTTGATTTGAATAAGAACTTATGATGATTGTTAATTGGTAGGTTCTTATGACAGAGGGAAAAGACATAAGTAGCAGAATTACCTATTCGATTGTTGATTCTACTTGAATATCTTTCCAATCCAAATCCAAGCTTAGTACCAACATCATACAGCCCGAATAAATGCTCCAACACCTGTTCCAGACATGCGCCCCTCTATATGATTTCCTGAATCAAAACCACCTTCTTATTTTTATTGCCAGATAACACCACTTTGCCATTTTGACACTTTGCCTGTCCAACAACATCCTTACTGTACATAGACTTTCCTCGTGTTCATAGTCAAAACCCAACTCACGTCCCCTCTATAAGCTCACCAATCCCGCCTATATCACCCCCAAACGGCTCCAGATCCAACACCTCGATCCGCCTAATCCACGTCTCGGGCCACAGACAGAAAATCCCATGCACATCCCTCATATGCGCCATCCACTCCTCGTCGAAAAGCGTCTCACGGTTATAACACGGCGTCCGCATCGTGCCGCCTCTACTACCTCCACCTACTACCCTGCTCGAGCTTCCTGTAATTGCATCGTGGCCAAACATGTTTGCTGCGCCTGTGCCGGTAGGGGGCACGGACACGGACACGGGCTGTGCTACTGATTGCGATTTGCAGAATTCCATAACCGCGTAGCCTTCAGTGGCGGGTATCACGGTCCATGCGGTCTTGGTATGAATCTTGCGCTCGCGCAGCGGGCGGAAGGGGTCGTTGTGCGGTGCGTAGAGGGCGTTGATGTTGGTGTTAGACATGGCTCCTACGTAGGAGCTGTTATTGCTTGGTGCGGGTGCTGAGTTCGAATGTGTGGCGTAGGGATACGAGAATGGCAATGGACTATTTGGTTGTGCATGTGGAAGCATTAGGCCTGCTGAAGCAGTGGCCGTTGGGTAAGAGGCGCGGGAATTGGATTGCATGCCCTGGTGCACATGTTGCGGTTGGTGGGCGTGCATAGACATGAGAACTGCTGAGGGGGAGAAGGATTCTGGGGTTGAGGGAAGGGTGAGTTGCGGGCACGGTGGACTGGCATTGCTGCGTGAGGCGTTGGAGTCGCTGGAGGAGGAGGAGAGCTGCGAGATGTGGGATAGAGAGGAGTCTCGTTCCAGAGCATGTGTGATTTCTCTAGTAATATTATTAGCATCCGCTTTACAACTACATGAGAAAGGACTTACAACCTTCCGCGACCACTTGAACCCTCTGCGATTGTGAGGCTCAACGCTTCATTCTTGATATGTATCGCAACATGCTGGGTTCTGGTTAGCTGATGTCCTGAATAATCTGCATGCGTGCATAGTGTTGCAGTTGTCACCTTTCTGAGATTTGCTGCAGTCTTTGTCTCCTTCTGGCAAAAGCCACACACCGATTCACACTTGGCGATTCGCAATAGTCCTGTCGTATTCCAAGGGGGGTGGATATGGCCTTTACTGCATGTAGTATTTCCTAGTGTCCTTTCCATCCTTAGTTTCCGTGCCCTATACTCGAAAAATATTGGTGCGTCTAAGCAAGGCATAAATATTCTGACTAAATGGCTTAACCTGAGGGGGGACTCAAGAAAATAAGTATATAAATAAAGTAGTAAATTTGTTTGGTGTTCCGGTTGCGAGATGAAATGCTTGCAATAACTATATGCCACTATGGATAGGAAATTCTGTGGAGTGAATCAAACGAGAGAACATAAAAGGATGGGAGGATTCGATATATACTTATACTTGTACTTATATCCAATTTTCAATCAGTTCTCAACACGCCTCATTCTGCAAGGCCTTATATAGAGGAATTGCTTGCGAATTCCCCCTGTCGTGAGGTTTAGGGTGAAGATGCGATTGGCTGCGACGTGCTTTACCGAATCAAAAGAACTTCGCAAAGAACGTTCTAACTGATATCGCCGTATCGATCACGCAGCCCACAGTCCTGGGAACGATGCGGACAATTGGATGACCGGAATGCGCACAACTAGCCAGGGTAGCATGTTCGTACCATAAAGTATGATACACATGCAATATCGATGTGTTACGCATGAGGGGTGAGGCTATTCTAACAGTGTGCGCTGACATGTGTGCACGTGCGTACTGTCGTACTGTGTCAATCATAATAAGGAGACATGCAGCCAATCGCAGAGACATGAATCAAAACGATTGTTGCAATGTCTTCGGATAGATTCTGATATATTAAGGTACGGAGTAGGGTTGTGATCGGATTCTTTTCAACCTGGGTTTATCCCGGAGGTGGGGAAATTGTCGTGTGATCCGGAGGTATCGGAACAGGGAGGTCCATGGTAAGATCTTACAAAAAAGCCGTGCTTCTATAGAAATATTCTCTGGAAATTGTCAGGGTGAAGGCAAATTGTACTGCTTTGTAAATCTGTTGTCTGTTGTCTGTTGTTAAGAGGTCAGCTTGTCGTTATGGTACGCCCTACTGTAAAGCTAAGTGGATGCGATTGGTCTTTCTCCGTGTAATACAAATATGAGAAACATGGCTGCGGCTTCAATATACTGCACGCCACAAGGAACTTCTCGGTCCCTCTAGAGCAAGCCTTAGGTAGCACAACTATCAAGTTGCAACAGATTCTTGAAGCAACGGTACATGAAGATCACCTGATCTGGCGTATTCAAATTGGCGGGAATCCGATTCTTGGATCGCTAGTTGATGATTGGAGGTTGACCCGAGTCCCGAGAAGTCTTACTCATTTAAAGTTAGAGAAGAGTCAGGTTGCACCCTCGGTATGTCGCTTTGACTGTCTTGAAGCTGGTGGAGGAAAAGGTAATTGTTTCGGATGTCCCACGGAAAAACAACAGATGAAAAAGAGATATGCCGAGGCAAGTACGACAATATACGAGATGTGTTACACAGTGCTAGGTTAATCATTTCGTACTTCGTAAAAAAGCCAATGCTCTACTTGTAGATCTCGGTACCATCGTCTGATGTGCTCAATGCGCAGTGAGTGCATGGGAGGTCAAGTTGTGAGGAAAGTGAGCAACTGCAGCCACACGTGAGCAGGGCACTAGCTAGAAAGAGACAAAAAGAGATATCTTTTCACTAAATCGGAGCAGTAATTGAAGAAACCTGTCGGAAGCGACCAGAATCTGCAATAATGACTTGAAACTTAAACTCTTGCATCAAGAGTGGAGTTTGTAAAGGGGCATAATCACTCTCACCGTCTTTCCTTTCACTGGAATGGATGCTGAATACGTGGATGAAAGAATAACTGGACTAAGAAGGATAACATATTAGGATAAAAGGGCTCCCTCATACCATACAAAAAAGCGGTCTCGAACACGGAGTCGCCATTGCCATGGCTCGATATTATTGGTCCTGTGTAGATGATGGAGGTTAGGGCTGACCTCCACGGCTGATCCAACCTCATCACCCTATCGCCATCGTCCTAGTGCTTCGCCTTCAGCCCTGTGGAAATGCACGAAACGCACTATGCACTGACTATCTGCAGTAAGAGGAGGCGGGGAGGGGGGAGGGAGTAAGCAGGACAGGCATCGACTTGGGATTTCACCAACAGGAAGTCGAGCTGTCAGCCTTATCGGCTCAGTTGTTACCTGGGTATGGTATGTTACTGTTTTGCCACTATCCGCATCAGTCGTTTGTATTGATGAACTGCCGTGCATATATATGTACTGTACTATAGTGCAGCAGGGCTGTGCCGTGTAAATGAGATGGCGAAACATTCATGGGAATAGGAAGGATTCATTTATATATGTTCCTCCCATCTTTAATCTTCATGAGGAAGAATCCATCTCTGCCATTCCTTCATCCTTTAGAGTGCAATTCATCTCCGCAAGAAGTCCACACCACACTTCACTTCGGGCCGCACCGATTCCCACCCCACCTTATAGTATCAATTAAAGTATATTGCGCGCTACAGAAGCCTCATACCTGAATCCACAGTGCGGAGGACAGAACAGTCTTTGGTGAGTGCAGTCTCTATTATTCAAATTGATCTTGTTACTGTACACCGTACTATATACTGTACTGTACTGTACTGTTCCTACTCATAGTGTAGTGAGTAAGGTTATAAATAACCGGTGCGTAGGTTAACGCCGCTCGGCAGGTCTTAGACCCTCTAACCCCTAATTTCGCATGGCGCAGGCGCCGGCGCGGACGCGGACGATAAGGTAACCAACCCTGTTTACCGTTCCTATACCTATAATCCCATCCCTTCCTATCCCCACCCGCATCCCACAATCCACATTAATCTTCTTCTTTTACAGTACAGCGCAGTACCGTACAGTACAGTACAATAAAAGCGTGTCTGTGTTATAATTACTGTTACCTTACCTACCGTCTTCCATATTTGGTGTAATCCTCTTTTGTACTCACCTGTACCCCCCTACTCATTCTTGTCCCTGCCCCCCCCCCCCTTCGGCTTCTCCCTCCTTCTCTCCATCATTATGATCACTCAACTACCGGCGCTTTGACATCTGCATGTGCTTCGGAATAGTATCAGTCGAATCCAAGCTCACTACCCAGGTGCCATCCTGTAGCTACATCCGAAGTCGAAGCTTGATATCTGGGAGACAGGACGACGCCTAATAATCTCCAACAAGCCATGCCTGGGAACCGGGCTGTACATGGAAGATATGTCGAGTACAACAGATGACAAAGGCAATGGCAATGGCAATGGCACAGACAAAACAGCCAAGCCAGTCAAGTCGAGGAGAGCCAGTCGACCCAAGGTCAAGACGGGCTGCAATAATTGCAAGTAAGCGCTTCCCAAAGCTCCCGTCCCATACAGTAATTCCAAAGCTATAGCTATCTAGTACCTATCTGCGCATCTGCTAATATATCCTTCTCTTCCGTAGGATCCGCAGAGTCAAATGCGACGAGACGCGACCGCAATGCAATAAATGTGTTCGTGCGGCAAGGCATTGCGATGGATATCCAGCGTACAGACGAACCACCGAGGCTGCCATCCCAATTGCGCCGCGACCCGGAGGAAACAACGCATCCTCCTATCCTGCGATAGCTTCATCTTCTACCTCATCTTCTTCCTCGGCACTACCTCCAGCATCGAGATCAATTATAGTTCGGAAACCGCCGCCGCGCCCAGCCCAGAAGCCTCGTCCTACCCCGCCTCCAACACCAGTCATGGACTTGAAGCCAACACTATACAGTCCCGGGGGCTTCGCGTTCGATGTACAAGAGGGGCAATACTTCCAGGTCTTTCGCACACACACTGCCAGCGAGCTCTCGGGATTCTTCGACTCGGAGTTCTGGACAAGGAGTGTGCTGCAAGAAAGTAATTCCGAGGCTTCAATACGGCATGCCGTGGTGGCATTAGGTGCTCTATACAAGACCTTGGAGAAGGCTTCAGAGTCACCGCCTACATCTCCAGATAACAATTCCTACGATACGGCTCCGAATCATTATAACTTTGCATTACAGCAATACGGGAAATCCATCACTAGACTACGAGAAGCGCTACAATACAACGAAACACGATCTCAACGAACAATATTAATATCCATCGTCCTATTTACATGTTTTCAATCCTTCACAGGCGACCACAGGGCCGCAATCTCGCAGATCCAGCATGGACTTGGCCTGCTAGAAGAAAGACGACAAGATGCCAAACAACCTCTGATCCGACGACAGGGAGAGGAGGTGGAGGATGAGCTGATTCAGATGTTTACCCGTCTCGCCATCCAGGCCAAATCCTACGACATGGCCTTCCATTTTCCACATCCATATGTGATTCGTCTCAGCCCTTCAAACCATCCGACATCACCTCAATCAGCCCCCTCTCCGTCCGATTCATCATCCACATCGTCCCTCGAGTCTCAAATCCCAGATATTTTCAAAACATCCCAAGAAGCGCGCTCCTCTCTTGATGCGCTATGCGAGCGTATAATGCGTTTCACAGAAGCGCTCTCGTTCTACTACCAAGGACCAAACAACATCCTACCCGCCTCAATAAAATCATCTGGCTTGGGCTTTCGCACACAACTCGCGCAATGGGCCGCGGCCTTTGAACCACTCCTCAACTCGCGCGGAAGACCAGGGATTACTAATACCGAGCGCGCAGGTATCAACGTCTTAAAAATGCTTCAAATCATGACCTCGATTCTGTTCCTTATGGGATTCAGCACATCTGAAATGGATTTTGACAACTTTTATCCGCAGTTCAAGGAGATTATCGATTTAGCGCAGGAGGTAGTATTACATGAAGAGTTGAGTCTTGCGCAGGCGAAATGCGGGGATACTCCGAGATGCAGGCACAGGCACAGGCAGCGTGCGACAGAAGAGTGGCGGTCAAATCCAGCGACACATTTCCCTGGTCTGGCAGCACATCAGCCCGATACATACCGGGAGGAGGACGGGTATGCGCATATCAAAGCCTCCTTTGCTCTCGATCTCGGCATCGTCCCTCCCCTCTTCGTGGTTGCAACAAAATGCCGAGACAGAAAACTCCGCCGGGACGCGATCAAGCTCTTGATGGTTAGCCCGAGAAGAGAGGGGATGTGGGATAGTATTCTTAGTGGTAAAGTGGGGCAGTGGTTAATGGAGATCGAAGAGGAGGGCATGGGGCAGTACGTTGGATATGGGGATGGGGACTATGGATGGTGCTGTTGTGGAGAAGGATAGACGGATTATGGTGAAAGAAATCCTATTTGATTTGCAGAAACGGGAGGCCACACTGAGATGTGGAACGAGGGGTGCGAGGGAGGGTGATGAGGATTCGAGGGTGAATGAGACGCAAATCTTCTGGTGAAGGGCGTCATACGGAGAATCTCTACATCAACATTTACGAAGTATACCGGGAGCCCATTCAAATGTGCTTTTGAGGGCGTAATCACCCCTCTAACGAATGCAATATCCGATACGGAAACGAGATTGCATGATAGAATTGTACATACGTATTGCAACCAACGAATGGGAGGCGGGAGCTGCACGCTTTGGATATTGTCAGTCGGGAATAGAGATATCTGCAATGAGAGACGAGAAAAGCAAGCTTCCGAGAAAGAACATTTATGGTTTGTGTTTATTAGCTAGCATTAATATCTAGCTTGGAGAAAGAAGAATATGAAAAGAATATCCTAATGCTGGCGCTGGTCCAATCCTTGGATGCTGGGATGAAGTCCGAGACAGGAAACTACCTTAGGCTTTGAGTCGGTGCTAAATAAACATGTCTGTAATTCTCCTTATTCACTTTCCCAAAACGTTTTCTATTGGTACTACTCGTAGTCAAGTGCTAACTGAGATATGATAAGGTACTCACATCATGATGAGTTGTCTACCAAATTCCTTCTATGTATCCGTCGCTTCTCTTCGTGCCTTTGCTTATGGACGTCGGTGTGTATATGACTAGCAAGCGTATCCTCAAGTGAAAAATGTTCTCGTGCTTACTCGGCTGTGCCTTGGCCTAGATCTGCATCTGCATCTGCATCCTTCTCGCAAGTCCTCCTGTACACAAACGTCTTCCAAGCACCCTTCTACAACGTGGGGATTTTCTTTGACGATTCCTTCTAGAAGGGACGGACCTTTATGCAGAGTCGTTACTGTATCTCTCTCTTTCACAGGGACCTTCTAGAAGGGCCTCATTTATCATCTCATCTATCTTTCTCCATACCTATCTTCTATGTCTGTCACTAGCACACCGGTTCCAAATTGCCGCCCGACCAATTGTCTTCGCGCATTTATCGCATACGGAGCAATAAGTACCCCGAACCCCATGTATGTCTCTTCTCTAACTGCATTTATTACCATGTTGAGTTGCGTTGGCGTTGGTGTTCTTTGAGCGAAAGAGTATAATACGTAGAGAACAATATTAAGGGGGTTCGCTTAGGTTCCCGTATCGAGCTACGAACTCGATCAAGGGATAAAGGCGCCTAGGGTACTGGAGAGGAACAATACGAAGCACAATATGTAGAGTGAGATGCCGCTATACCGGAAAGGTAGGACGGGACCACAGAAGCCCATGCTATCATTCAGCACTTACCACCAGAACAAGCAATCCAATACCACGCGGCCCAGACACGATCTCTTGTTCACTCATGCATTTCATTTCATTCAATTTCATTCACACAAACAAGTTCCAAACTACGAGCCCAGGTCTAGTCCTCCCTTCCCATCTATAAAACCCCGTCCCCTTCCTCCTTCCTCGCTCTTTTCGTCTTCACCCTACACATACACACATTCGCTATACACAAACACTCACTTTTCACACACATACACACACAAAGAATCCACTTCAAAAACCCAAATTTCAAAATGGCAGCATCAACAGCACGCAACGGAGGCGGCGGAGGGAACTGCGTCGTCCAGCGCGGCGGAGGCGGCGGGGGCAACTGTGTCGTCCAACGCGGAGGAGGCGGCGGAGGCAATTGTGTTGTCCAACGCAATGGAGGTGGCGGGGGCAACTGCGTCGTTCAGCGATGCTAAATTATTGCTACTTTGTGCACGCCATGCACTGCTAGTAAGCTAAGGGCTTGATGTTATGTCGTCTCCAGTACTTGCACGGGCACGAGCACGTAACTTTTCATTCATTCATTCATTAGTACGATATTTTCGATTCGATTTACGATGCCTTGAGGGGCGGAAACTTTTCATATACAGGCCCCTCATTCGATACCTCTTCATATGTCAAGACGCGGAAGGGGGTAAAGAATAGGTTGCGCTTTGCCGTTTGGCGCTCATTATTCATAGGACTTGGTGGTACTGCAGTATCATTCGGGTTTCTTTGGTTCTCTTATGTAGTTAGTGATAAATAAAATATATTTTTTACTAGGTTGGTTGCATTTTGCTAGATATTTTGGGTGTGGATGATGATGTGAAGACAAGGCGATTGCAGTGATGTGGGGGGGTATCAGTGGTGGGTTGGGCTGATTTGCAGTTCCCGTATATATTTGCAAGAATAAGGACGGTGTGGAGGACTTGAAGGGGAAACGGTAGCTATTGATTCATTCGGCACTTGGACCTTTAACATTACATGTAATATTCTTTCACCATCATTCATCACCCTCTCGGACTCTTCTGCAATCCTCCACTCACTCTACTCAACTTCGCGTCTAAAACCGGGTGAAAGGAAGCCTATCCACACCATTAGCACTATCCACATCGTCCCCTCAAGGTTTCTCCGCTCAGTCGGAAAAAAGAAGGGGGGGGGAACTCACCACTTTCCCCTCAACGTAATAACCGCCCACTCGGCCCCCTTATCATCCACCTCCTTCTCCACCTTCGTACTGAAACTAATCGCACTCATAATCCCATCCCCAAACTTCTCATTCAGCACCGCCTTATACGCATACCCATAATTCTGCACAATCTCATACAGTCTATAAATCAACGGCTCTACCGGCGGCATGGGCCCCGCCCTCCCCCGGTCCGGAAACCCCAACAGCTGTTCCGCCAACACCTCCTCGGGAATCGAGAGTAGGGAAGAGAGTTTCGACACGTCGGCAGGGGATGCTTGGGCCTGCCCGTAGAAGAGCGCTGCGACGGCTACTTCGGAGCGCTCGAGGGCGCTGGCGATGCTGGCGAAGGTCAGGGATTTGGAGGCTTTGGCGTCGAAGAGGGTTTTGGAGGAAAGAGGGAGACGGTCGACGATTGAGGACTGTGGGTAGGAAGGTGGGTTATTAGTTTGATTGTTTTGAGGCGCGTACTATGCAGGCGGGGCAATTGAGGGGACTTACGTCGAGGACTGCGATTTTGCTATTGTCTGCCATTTTGCTAATAGAATATGGTACGATTTGATTGTATTGTAATATATTGTTGAAGTGAGCCTTTAGTGAAAACTGTTTTGTTTGGCTGTATATAAAAGTGGGAGAAGATGAGGGATAGATGTTTATGTACCTACCTAGGTATGTATAGTCGTGCTTACCCCGCGAGCTACTATAGTATGGGCTTGGAACCTCGTCATGATGTCACATTAGACGCCGGGAAATCCCCGAGTCTTGTCCGCGTTTTAAGAATTTGGGATTTTTTTCTTATGGAAAATAGTGACATTTACGGAGGTCTTCTGGGGTTAATCGTCCACTTATCGTTGCACGTGATAGACAATAAGTGGACGATTAGCATCTCATGGTGGTGTTGACGCGAAGAGGTTATGCCTCTTTGCTGACTAAGCTACACTAGATCACATGACCAGAAAGGGTGGGAGACAGCCCTTATCCCAACAACCTTGGGTGCACTTTCTAATCCTTCTTTCAATAAGAAATGTATTATAATACTTCTTAGCTTTCGATTTCTTTTATTTATTCATCCGGTAATCACAGGTTTAAGCTACGACCTCACCTCTCTTTCTCTGCTTTCCAGTTACCGGTAGTATATGCTTAGTCATAGAACACCCCTTATTACCTCGTATATCGGATTCATGATTATACATAATAATAAAGATACAATACACCATAAAACAAAGATCCCATACTAGAACTCACTGGTATGAGGTCTTGCGATGGGGCAATACGTGAGAGCTAGCACGTGTCCGCTTCATGAAGGACTACATCTCATCGCTCCTGCAGTCTCAAGCTTCCTACACATGGTTTCAAGATTATGCAGTACCAAAGGGACTGACTCTTTGAGTCCTTATGCAAACACCTCACGAAGCCGGCGAGGTTTGGAGCGACAATTCAAACGGCCGCTATTCTATCTCCGATTCAGCCAATCACCTCTTATTGCGACTGCCTTGTCAAACCATTGATTACAATATAACACGGTGGAGTTTACGTTTCTGCTTGCATCCACGCACGATACGATTAAACCAGCTACCGTCAAGCACACGCAAGCCTTCCAAGATCATTACTCCTAGAATGGCATCCACCGTTTCAACTCGATTTATGATCATCTCCGATACCCTTGGCTTCAAGTTTAAAAACAGAAGAAAGGCAGGCAACAAGGTGGCCGGAAACTTCAAACATCCATTCCCGAATTGCGATGTCCTCCTACATTGCGGCAATCTCACACGTCTTGGTCAGCCGAACGAAGTCGAACAATGCCTCCAAATGCTTGGAAGTATCAATGCCGAACTCAAGCTCGTGATTGCAGGAAATCATGAACATGTCTTGGACAAAGAGTGGTGGTCAAAGCATAAGGAGAACACCGATGATCCCGACTCTCCAGCCTCCCTTGAGTATAAAAGGGCAGTGGGTATGATGACAGGACCTTTGGCAAAAGAGGCTGGAGTTACATATCTGACAGAAGGACTCAACGCATTCAAACTGAAAAATGGAGCCCAATTCACGATTTATTCCTCACCTTATTCGCCCCGATTCTTCGACTCGGCTTTTGCGTACGGTTCGGCTGAGGACAGATTCAATCCCGCCAATGCAGTGGCCAAGGGATACAGATGCATCGCCGAGAACCCAATGCCCAACTTCCCAGCCCTTGATATTGTTATGACACACGGCCCGCCTAGAAAAATCCTAGACCGGAAAACGCATGGCAATGTTGGCTGCGGGACCTTGATGCGAGCCATCAGTAGAGCGAGACCACGTCTGCATTGTTTTGGGCATGTTGATCAGGCTTACGGCGCTAGATGGGTCCGATGGGAAGAGGACTTGAACACAATAGGACAAAAGGCGATAGAAATTGTCAGTAACATGGAAAATGCCTATCCACAGGTGACACGCTCTCCGATGACATTCGGCAAAGACACATTGATGGTTAATGCTGCGATTGGGAATGGGAGCGGCGCTCAGCCGACAAATGCGCCATGGTTGGTGGATTTGGATCTCATAAAAGCCCCATCAGTTTGAGAGCTTTCTCGGTAGTGGACTATGAGCATAGGAATTGAGGGTAGGGGTCATCAAAGCATACTTAGCACGAGTACAAGCAGACTTGAGTCAATACAAGGAGCCTCTTTTCTTGGACGCTAGGTAACATTCCTTGTTCCACAGAAAAGGATACTTCATCAGCACGCAGCCTACATATCTGCCTCTTGTAGTATGCATCTTCACGTTCGACTAGAGAAGTTGGGGAGGAAATTAGTGATTCTCCTGAATTAAAACTAGCATTGAATCACAGGAAATACCTTGATGGACTTTAGCCATTGCGTATTCAAGTTACATCATCTGTGATTACGCCTATGTGCCTCTTTTAGCTTCCTCCTCATCCTCTTCTTGTCCCATTGGCTATCCCGCACTGACCACCCCACAATAGTTACCCCTTTTAAATTATATCGGGTCCTTCGCTTAATTAACTGCCCCACAATCCTGATGAGGAGATCTTTAAGTGAAGAAACATTGTCTATTAAACGATTATATTGTATAATCAAGAGGATAGTATATATAGAAGCACAATTACTTAGTTATTAGTTGTTATAGCAAGATATTATATACATGTCTTTATTCAGCAACACTTCTTTCTCTAATATGAGTGCGTTCATAGTCAATTTTCTGTTCTGTACTAACTTATAATGCGGCCACTAAACGTCACAAAGTGATTCACTCATGGAACCATGGGGGTCCAGCAACCTTTAGATTTGGACTGTATGGTAACATAACCTGAAAAGCACTTGGTTAGTTTTACACTCGGGTGCAAGATGTAATATAAAGTCTGTCGATGGACGCACAAATTTTCTGGGGGGTTGGAAGATTCGACACTTTTATATCCGTGTATCAAAACCCATACTGATTCCACTCAACACTTGTTAACAACGACGCTCATCAAGACACTTATCAACACTCCTCGACACTGACAATTATTATCATCAGCAATCTTCAATTTCAACCTTGCTATCACTAAAGCCTTACAAGCGATTATCAATCATGGCTCCTGGTTCTGGTCCTCTGTCTGATTCTTTCTCAGTCAGCGATTTGTCCTTCGCTGTGTGCTCTCGGAAACCAATGTCATCGCGAATGCAGACGTTTGAGATGAATCCAAATCCAACTTCGGCATGTCAGGGCAAGTGTGCTTCGGGTCCATTGTCTATGTCTTCTCTCGACTGCGCCTTACACACGATTATCAAGGACCGGGCAAGCACATCAGTCAGAGAATCTATAGAGGTGTCGTTTGAAGAATCACGATTAGGATCCCGACTAGCAACACCCATCGAAACACTCATCGAAACCCCAATCGAATCGACCACCAACTTGGGGACCGAATTACGAAAAAGGTTATTAGAGCTCCCAAATCACTCCAACAAATCATTTACCTATCAGCCACCCTTCAGCAGCAACACAACCGAATCCCAACAACCCACAGTCGAACTCACCCAGAGCCAGAAGAAGGCCATATGGTCCGAGTTCCGCATCCAAACAGCCCTCCAACTCGCCATCGCCCGCTCAACCCGCTGTCGCGGCCTCTCTCCCCTCCAGCGCCTGCGCGAAAGCCTCCACACCTCCGTCTACGCGCGCGGCATCTCCATCGACCACAGCAAAGACCAGGTCCACAGCCTCGACTATCCCAACATCGGCAGCGACACCCTCAAATGCCACGAGCACGACAGCAACCAGTGCTACTGCATCTGGTGGCAGTGGCACAACGACTCCGTATGCATGGACTGGAAACCCTATGTAACGGGCAGGTATCGCGATATGCGCAATGGCGAGCCCTGCGCACTGCATGCTACCAGGACCTGTTATTGTTTGTGGAAGCCGGCCGAGGATGGCGCTGAGCCGTACCGTACGTATAATATGAGGCTGTTGACCAGGAGAAGACTCAAGGATTAATGGTGGGGATGACTGTTGGGGAGATGGCATGGAAAAGAAAGGACAATCTGTGTTTGTATGGATGTGAAGGCTGTATGGAGTTGGGAAGCATACTGAGCAGAAATTGTGAAAATAAACGAATGGAAAAATTGAAAATGGATTAAATATCACGTAACGTCTTGGTCTAAAAGCTCAAGGTATATCATTGATACCTTGACACAACATAGTTCCCTGCGATCAAAAGGTAATGATACGGACCAGGGTGCGGGAACCCTCTTTGAACATGCAGAGTGATTCGGTAACACAGAGCTGAGAGGATACCAAGTAGAAACTTGCTCCACACGTAGGAAGGAGTACGCCAGTATTGTTGAAACAGGCGCAATGTTGTTTCCTGGATGATAAGTGGCGCTGCAAACTTCTTTGCTTTCGCATGGTGGCTAGTATTGACTTTGGACTTAAACAGGTCTTGGTTCATTCGTCTATGCTCTGCCATCATGTCCAAATGCTTGGTGCTCTTCGTCCAAGTTAGCACCCAATCTGGAGAGGTACTAGTATCTTTACAGGCTACAATTTGCAAAACGTATGCGGCAGGATTCTCGGACTCTTTGCAAGGCCTGGCCCTGCTTTTCGCAAAGTATTTAAGCATAGAAGCAGGGGTTATTTCGATTTAAGGTGAGGACTTGGATCTGAAGATGTTGAGAAACAATCTCGTTTGAATCAGTATGGTAGTTAACTTCCCGGATTTTCTTCTTCGACCCAGGACTCTTTATTGGGAACTTCTTTTCTCTTCGAAATGGTAACACGGCTGCAGAGCTTGTGTTATACGAAACGATTTCCAATGCAAGAAGGTATGTAAAGAGGAAGAATATCCAAAACCCCAACAAAATCCCGAAGTTTGGCCATAGATTTAAGTGAGTATACTGGAAACTTGTCTCGATATAAGCGTCTCCAGAAACCGTATATATTGACCAGCAACAGCACCAGCAGCTGAGCAGATGAAATTATTGCTGGCCATATTTGGGTACGAGGTAACAAGACTCGCAAAGTTAGTTAAAGCTCTTAGGTAGTGGCTTAGTTTATGATACCTAGCGCACATAGGCGTTTGCCAAAAAGCGCCACACTATGACTTAGTTTACGGCACCTCCTACATGATGTCGTGCAGATTTGCATGACTTGAAAGTTCACATAGTGATTCCCAAAAAGTCTTCATAAGGCGTTGCAAGCGAAACCTTAGCTATACCGCCGGTTCTTCACCCGGTTCTACCAGACCAATGAAAACGTATGCAACTCTATAGTCTCCACACTGACTCTTTTATACCTTCACAAGAAGTGCTAGGGCCTAGTCTAAAATGTGTAGCGTTTTACACGCCTTGTATAAGTTCAAGAACTAAAGGCACCGGCTCTTATGATACGCGCTCGAATTTAGGGTAAATTTGAGATTGAAGCCTAAAATATGGGATCAAACAAGGTTTGCGCGAACGGTCTAGATCGAAAGATGGTGACGTGAGCTTCTGCTCTCATTTATGATAAGTTCCCGAGGTGTTGGAATTTGTCTGATAAGCCAGCTTTATTGCCAGTCCGGTTAGGTTTCTATGGTCCAGCCACGTAGAATACCGACCTTCAGCAAGAAAACCAAGTTCTATTTGCATGTCTTAATAAATCTGTGCATGTGCTATATCCGATTGGCCATATGTTAGGAGTATTTTGCTAGTCCCAGGCTGCAAATAACAACTGTGCAGCTAACATCGTCAAACCTTATTTAAGATCGCTGTCTTTCTTTGTTCGCATTTGCGACTACGCATCTTAACTAGCACCAACGAGGCAGCAAGCTCGTTCCTTTGTGGGGCTTGCGGAGAGAGAAATGCAAAAGTTTTGCCCCAATTGTGGACGCAGACATTTGCAGGGGGAATTTGAGAAGAGGCCACTTTGATTAGTCAATATACTTTGCTTGAGAATGGGCTAGAGCCGGGGGCAAACTTAGTCTAGTTTCTGGTTGCAAATGGATATTGTTTCGAAATTCGCAGTCTTTACTTTCTAATTTCATCTTTAACAGACATGCTACACTCAACAATGCAACATTCCTGCTTCAAGCTAATTGACTAATGCTTTTTCACTCACTAATTAATATTTTACTATTTTTTCGAGGATCTGCTCAAATAACCCCAGACTAGATAAGTTGAGGTTATTCCTCCTCCTACATCTCACTCTTTATAAGCATCTAAGTTGTTGGAATCTATTAACACCCCCGATCCACCCCGTCTTTTCTTTGGATTATATATAGCGTAGGGGTAACATAGTATAGTCTGCGGAAGTAATAAGAAAGTAGAAAAAGGCGCTAAAAGACACTCTGAGTAGCATCACTTTTAACTTTGAAGCCGTAAGCAAAGTGCAATTGACGAATCAGATTGTGCATTGACTAAATTCATCGTTCGTGAGTATATCATAGCAGACCCAACTCCAGAATTCATTTATGAATACTCCTTAAAACATATCAAAGACCCCCTTAGACCCCAGCTCAACCCAACCTAATCGAGCCCATGCTCCTCCACCCAGACACGACCTCATACTTTTAGCCCGTCTCATCAACCTCTCGAATGGTGTATATGATTGTTTCGGTGATTTTCTGCTAAGCGATTAGAGCGCGTTTTAGGGAAGACTGCATTGTTATAGCATTGAAAGTTGAAACATACTTGAGTCTGGCTAACTTTGGTTATTTCAACCACCCCGGCGGGTGGGGTGTGATCTGATGTCGGGGCTGCCCCTCTATAGCCATTAGTGTCCTTCTGCGGATGACTCGATGATAACTCAGGCTTCGAGGGTATGGAAACGATTGCAGGATTTTTTCAGTCAACCTCCTCCACCTCAAGATACTCGCTTCCTGGTTGGTCTTCGCTTGTTTCAATTGCTCGGTTGATGGAATCGAGGATATTGACATGCCCGACTAATAATCGTAGATTGATATTTGGCTGGCGAGCCTGGTTGACCATTTTGGAGTATGCCATGTGATATATACGAAAGTAGTTCATTGCTATCTTAATAACATAGTTTTGATAAAGGTCTCATTGACTTTTAAGGAAGATAATATAACCTATATTTTCTGGAAGTTGCTCATAATACACTAGGCCTGACTATAACTCTAATATATGTAGTCATGTATCTATGGTATGAGGACTTTAGCCTTACTTGCCCCAGGTTTCACTATTCTCTCCATGGTTTAGTATCGGGAATTCCGAGCAAGAGAATCAGCTCATGAGAGATTTACTACGGGGTTAATATCTAACATTTTATCAACCTGGAGATTGCCGCATTATGTGGAGTATTTTAGCTCGACCGTAGCTTCATATAGTAAAGGCGAGGGCGGGATCGAGTCGAGATCTGCTGTTCACAAGCCAAAAGCTAGCGGAAGATCCTTATCATACCCCACTGGTCGAAAGCCTAGAATTAGCGGTCGTTCCTACCCCGCTGGTACCTAAGAGCGGGGATATCCAGACATATGCATCCTGAAGCTGAAGTCACGTTGACGTTTTCCTGCTACGCTGGCGCTGAAGTCTGTGGCTTTTGGTATTTTTCTTTTGTATCAACGAAGTGCTCTACTCTCTTAGCTTCACAGAAAGATTTACCAACCTCTCGGCTTTCTCTGTCAATCCCCAGAGGAGTCCCGTGGAATTATAAGGATCACGTGGATGCCCCCACTGCGGAATCCATTAATCGACAATCTAGGCTACAAGGTCTAGAATCATGGGTTATAGGAATAAATTCGCAGATATCCAAGCTAAATACGACTCAGGTCATAGGATTCTTGACTTAAAAAGCATCTAGAAAAAGATATAAACACGTCAATATACATCTAATAAAAGTTAAATCTGTTGTAGATCTATAGATTTTTGAAATGAAAACCAAATAAAAATCTTCAAGTGACGGACTTTTGACCCAGAATTGAACCAGGTAGGCTCTTAATCATTTTCCACACTTAACTCCTAAACGGCGAAATATTCGTATCCACTCCGTAAAAGGAGAGAATGCTAACGTCTTTTTGATACGGTACCAGTTATAAACCATTCTATGCGCAGTTGAAGTTCAACAACGAGCAGCTTAATATCCTTTCAAGTCTATAACTACCTATGCACGTGCACCTCGCTCGCTACCCCAGTGTAGAGAATAATATTCTCTACACTGACCCCCTCCCTACTTCCACAACTTGGCCAAGAACCCCTGTTCACCCGGCCTCGAATACCACTCATGCCTGCGATGCGGGCCCCTCGGCGTCCTCTCAGTATACAACCTCTCTCTCTCAAACCTCCTCATCAGCTCCCGGTACGTGAGCAGCTCGCTCGGGGTCACGACACAGGGGTCGTGCGGACGCGTGTGCAGCACCATGGGCACGAAGCCGAAGAAGAAGGCGATGAGGTTGTCGTATAGCTGCTGGTCGATGTTGCCGCGTCGGTCGACGTCGCGGACGTTGTCCCACATGTGCGCGAGGCTGATGCGGTGCACCTTGCTGGTTACGCGGCGGGAGAGGGTGTGGATTTCGTGCGGGGACATTGAGGTCGCGTCGGGGCGGGAGGGGGGGCGTTGGGTGATCAGACGGGCTGGCTCTTCTGAATACTCTTGTTCTTCGATGCTTGGGCCAGCGCGTGATTTGGACTCGGGGGTGGGTTGGTGTGTTGGTTGTTGCTGTGTGCTTGGACTTGTTCGTTGAGATTGCTGGTGTTGGGCGCTCATGACTGTTGTGTATTTGGAGGGTCCTCCGGGTGCGTGTTGAGTGTTGGGAACGTTCAAGTACGGTGAAGGTCCAGCTATCACATGTGGGGGGGGTGGATGCTGCTGCTGCTGGGCAGTTAGCGGCGCTTTAGATTTAGACCATTTAGAACCGGCAGTGGGGAGAGGTGTAGACATTATTGTGCTTTCGAGATTAGGAAATGCGCTTCGAGTTAGGCAGATGAAGGCAATATCGCACTCGACAGAATAAAGACAATTTAAATACCTAGGTAGTACACTATGTCACAACGCTTCTGACGGTGATTTACGAAATGTTGATTCACGAGCACCCCCACAAAGAATCTTCAGACATGTATAATCATTCAAATACAACACTGCTAGCGATTTTTGATGGGTATCATGTATCATGTATCATTCATTATCGTTAATCAGACATCAGTCTTTGCCGAACACATAGATATCCTCTCACCAAGGAGCTGCAAGTCCAATCCAGATAATCCTGTATCGAACGTTGACTCTGGTTCTCCGGCCTCAAATGCAGTCAGAGCCTTCACTTGTGCAGCTCTCAGTGGTCCCAAATAAATTTCTTCAACAACAGACAACATTCCTGAAGGAACGATATGGGCATAATTCTCCCCTGAAATGAAGAAAACAAAATTTACTACAGCCATATGGAACGAAAAAGATTGACCCAGAATATGAGCCAGCTCTTCCGCAGTAGCACTTCCTAACTCCGAGGCATCAGGAAACAAGTATGGCTGTGCAGCGGATAGAGCAACCTTCGATCCAAATATATTGTTCGATTTCCGTTCATATGCTGTGATTATCTCCTCCTTCAACCAAGAAACGGCAGAGGCCTTCAAATTTTCATAAGGGCAGTGCTCCAAAGTATCCGTTATGAATGTAAGGCGGAGACGGTCAACTGGGTGCGCATGCAGTATGGTTGAAGTCAGCACGTGAGCTGCGTACCGCAACGTGGGAGAAGGAGTATTGGCGGACAATAATGATAGTGACTGAAGATGTTGAAGAAAATCTTCATCTTCAAGGGGTCCAGACACGAAGTTATTGTTATGTTCCAGCCACAATCCAATAGCCAAAATAGCGTCAATTACCCCCGAGTCTTCGTTACCAATGTTCGCCGGCCCGTCGGTTCCGATGAATTGCTTGACAAGCTTTGCATGGTCAGGGAAAATGGACAGTTTTGGGGGTGGAGATTTGGATTTAAAGAGGATCGAGGCAAAAACATAACAAGTTATGAGAAATAGAGATCCTGTTTTCGATAAAGGAATATCTGCTGGTGAGGTTGGGTAGTTCGCCTCCTCATTCTCGTCGTCGTCGTCGTCGTCGCCAGTCTCGTCTTCCGTTTTGTATATGGCGTCGAACAGATCGGTATAGTCCGACATGCCAAGATCTCTGGCCAGTGCCTATACATATATTAGAAAGCTCCAATATTTTCCCAGGCCGTACTTACCACGAGCTGTCCTACCAACGTATCTCTTTCTTGCAGTGTGGGCTCCTCTCGAAACGATTCGCCCAAGCTTTTCTTCCCCGCCACCACCTTTGTTGGATCAAATGATTCTTGGAGTCTTGCAGCCCACTCCAAGCTATTGGTATTGGCATAGTCTTGCAGTATATGCGTGACGAAGGACTGCAGCAGCTTAGTCTGTATAGCACCTTCCTGTGGATCTGCATCTTCATGTGCTTCCGGGTCGGGCGCAGAAGGATCAGACTCCGATGCATTCGTAACCTTGATACTCAAGCTCGATTGTCGACCAGGCAATGGTGGTCGTTTCTTGCCGGAGATTGTATGTACAAAGGAGACGACGGCGAGGGTTGCTTGATTGGAAGGATGGAAGGCTGCAAGAATCGACATAAGGGACGTGGAGAGGAAGCGGGAGGGGTATTTTGTCTTTATTCGCGGATGGAGTATGGCGAGGAGGTTGACCAAGATGCAGAACTTGTCGACACTCGTAGGTTCGGGTGTAGGTTTCTTGGTATTCTCTATCTTGCTCTCTTCTTCTGCAGTGCTGTCCTCTACCTCAGCAGCCTTGTCCTCATCCTCAACATCATGGCCCTCCTCGACCGCATCTAGATCTAATATATGCAGTGACTCGGTCACTTTCAACACCACCTCCCTCGGATTTCCCAGTCTCGCGATGCTACCTAGACACTTCTCTGCACCCGGAAGGGGTAGAAGGAGGTGGATGAGGTCCCACCCAATGTTCTGGGTCAATTCAGCATCTTGGAGGATATCGTTCAGCGCGGGGAGGATGTCGGGCGACAGTTGCGATTCGAGGATGGTGAGATATGTAAGATAGTCAGTTGCAGGCGGCAGAGACTCGGTGATGGCTTTGATGCCATCGTGAGGCATATTGGACATGGTGGATGGGTTGAGGTCGTTTGAAAGAGGGGTTATTGACAACAGCTTCAAATGAGGTTAAGTCTGCAAGCACGTGATCCAGCCTAACCCAACCCCACTACAGCCCTATCCTATTCCTCTGCTCTGCCTCCCTCCCTCACCTTCACCCCTTATTGTTTTTGCAGTGTGAAGGGGACAAAGGTATACAAAAGTATAGGTAGGTAACAGGTAGGCCATTCCGTACCTCTAGGTCTTCTACGACTTGGTAAACCCATCCATATCGACTGGTGCAATGGAACAAGCAACTAGCAAATGCAGGTACTATACAGTCAGTCGGCAAACCTGCCCCTGCCTGCTTTTCTTGGCATTGTTTACTTGTACCGTATCACTACTTTACGTATATTCCAATTCCATACGCAGTAAGTACTGCGACAATACGACGTATAATATTTTCCTACATCTAACTCCACGACGACGAGCTTCTTTTATACTATTCATTGTATTGTTCAGCTCCGATTGCCTCCCAATTGGACCTCTTTCCGCATAACGCGTCGTGGTGTTACTCCACTACCCCTCTCTGGCTCTCTCCCTCCTTCGCTCCCTCCCATCAATACTCCGTACATGCCTCTGAGATTGACATTTACACGTATAAATCCACTCAAGCTTGCAACGTGGGCAAGTCCCACCAAATACATCAGTGAGTCAACTTCCTAGTTCAGCAGGTCCAGCCCATAGTCACTGACACCAAAGCCGAAGGACAGCGAGCTATATATTCAGGATCCGGTGGACATTGCCCCAATCTCTATATAACCACTCTACAACAATCAATCCTTCAATTCTCAAGTATGGCGACCACACACGAATCCACAGCCGAAGACGCCACTGCTCTATTCAAATCCATCGAAGAAATATTCCCAAAACTGACATTGGGGGAAGATAAATGGTATCTGCCTGTTGTGAGTGGAAAGAATTTGGTCTGCAAAGCATCTACTGAGAATCCTGCCAGCTCTCTGCGCTCGTAGGCGCTGCACCAGATCATGTTGGCACCCTATACACCTACATCGTCAACAAACCCGATTTTTCAACTCCCGAAACACGTCAAGCTCTGGTACGCCGCCTCCGCGAAGCCCTCGTCAAGAATATATCCATCCAAGGGGTTTGCAAACCAATCGAAGCTCTCTTCAGTATTACGAAAGTGGAGCGGCCAGAAGATAAGGATTACTCATTTTCGAGGTACGAACCTCAATCACAGGTTGCACATTGGCACTAAGGTCTTCTAGGGAAGGATGGCAGACTGGGCCGGAGAATTTGGCTAGAGGGGAACAGTGGCTAAATACTATATACGAGGGCAATCTTTCCGACGCAACCGACAAGTTCATTGCTCACAAGGACTTTGACTTCATCACCCGCCAGATTTCATACGGCTTCTACCTGTCCGATCACACCATCCTAGGACCCGTCGAGACCGAGTTGGTAGTGTTGTCCGGAATCATGATACAAAACCTCCCCCTCGAAACGGCCTGGCATCTACGAGGAACACGGAGAGTTGGTGTCAGTGCTGAAGATGTGGAGTTGGTCCAACAATGTGTAAGCCCTCACGGACGCGACCTTGCTTGGCATCACTGACTATTCTTAGGTGGAAATGGTGGCCAAATTTGCCAGTGTTAGCCTACACAAGGTGCCTAGGGTTGCTGATGTTGAGAGCCAGGTATAAATGCACAAAGGGCATGATAACACTAGCAAACAAGTAGATCGTAGGTTATGATGGCATGGATGCCCCATCTTTGCTCACTCGCCTTGTGTAAAGAAGTACAGTTGTGTCGAGATCAACAATCTAACATTAGACAGTCGCATGAAATCTAATTACATTACTAGAATGGGAATAAAACGATTTCCACAACTCCACGCAATGAACGCCAACAACCAGCAGAGTCAATCTATGTCCATGTGCTTTGCTTAAATGCGCTCTTTGATGCAGCAGTAAGCCCAACGCCCACCAATGTAGCCCCACCTACGATCTCAAAGACTGCAAGGTCTGCACTCATCTCCTTCGACACCCAATTGCGCAGTTCCACAGCAACCAGCGAGTCGACACCATAAGACTCAACCCTATGGCTGAGCTCTATGTTCTCTTCTGCAATGCCTAAGACCTTGGAAAGCTTCTTCCTCAGGGCCTCGGACACCATCATTCCCGCCTCGGCAAGAGTGCCTACGCTTGCGAACATGGTTTTGAAATCCGTACTGTTCTCGTCCTTGCGCACTGACGATTGTCCAGAGAATTCAATCTGATGCATTTTGCGGAAGAGAGGCTGGCACAAGGCGACAGGCACCTCCCCCCCTCTGGCAACCACCTTGGCCGGAATATCGATACCCAGGATCACCTGGTCACACCATTGCGGAGATAACTGAAGTGCCGGGTTGCAGTAGAAGTCCAGAAGTGATTGTACCTCTTCTTGTGTGATGGGGAGCATGACGCCTTGACGCATCAACCGATCCATCAGCTGGGAATTTTCGGCAACAATACCCTCTGAGAGAACGACACCGAGATCTAGTGCCACAGCCTTTTCTCCATGCAACACCCGGTAATGTGCAAGCTCGTCTTGGTAGGTGTTACCAGCTGCGTAGTTGCTCTGCCCTGGGTTCCCAAAGATACCGCTAGCGGATGACAGGAGCACAAAAAAGTCCATTCCTTGGGGAAGTGAGACGTGAAGATTCCAAGAACCTTGAACCTTTGGCCTCACGCTCTCTTCCCACTGTTGGAATGACATGGCAGCAAATGTTGTGTCCTTGTATAAATGTCAGTAAATACATGCCAATAAAGGGTATTTCTACTCACTCGTAGGACCATTGATGCTTGAATGCAGCCCTTTATTGGGGGCATTGTTTTCGCGCATCTTTGAACAAGACTCTTCAATGCCGAGAGGCTTGTAATATCGCAAGCAGGTGCCACAACGCGAACCCCTTTCGCCCGCAATTCCGTAACTAGCGCCTGTCCTTTCTCATTCCCATCTGGTCCGGAGCGAGAAAGAAGGATCAAATTACTTGCTCCTCGATCTACAAGCCACTTTGCTATGCTGCGACCAATCCCTCCAAGACCCCCGGCGATGAGGTAAGTAGCGTCTTTGCTAAGGTTGTATGAGGGTCTAGTTTTGAGACTCGTCTGATTTACAGGTCAGTAATTAGTCCCGAATAACATGAGATTCTCAACTCACCGGAACAATGGCATCTGTGGTGGCCTCCAGAACAATCTTCCCGGAACTTTTCCCGCTCTGAAGAATTCTAAATGCATGTTCCATGTCGGAGATTGGGAATACGGTCAATGGATATGATGGGCCCAGCTTTTTAGCCTCCACCAGGCGCATAATCTCTCGCATCATCTTCTGGATAAGCTGCGGTCGTTGCTGTACAATCGCGGCTAGATCAACACCGGTAAAAGACGCGTTCCTGAGGAATGAATACATGGGAAGGTTTCCATGGTTGTCGATGTCTCTTCTTCCGATCTCCATAAATCGCCCATACGGTGCGATGCACTCCCAGGTCGCAACCAATTGGTCACCCGCAAGCGAGTTCAATACCACGTCAACGCCACGCCCTTGTGTCATCCGCTTTATCCCGTCTGCGAATGAGAGGTCTCGACTATAAAAGATGTGATCTTCCGGAATCTGATACTGGCTCATAATGAGCTGCTTCTTCTCTTGCGATCCCACAGTTGCAAATACTTCGGCGCCTAGGTGAAGGGCAATTTGAACAGCAGCCTGGCCTGTTCCACCCGATGCAGCATGGATAAGGATTGACTCGCCTTTCTCAAGGCGAGCTGATTCGATCAGACAATAGTATGCGGTGCAGAAAGCAGTGGGGATTGCGGCTGCTTCATTGAAAGTCATGCTGTCTGGAATTTTAGCGGCACACCCAATCGATGACCGTGCAAACGACCTGTAAGTATCGGTAGCACAAAGAGCGACCCGGTCTCCAGGCTTCAGTGTATCCCAGTTATCACCAACACGGCTAACCACACCAGAGCACTCGTTCCCCAGGGTGTCAGTGTTCACACGTCCCAAGACCGTGAGGCATTCTTTGAAGTTCACGCCTATCGCTCGTACTTCTACCTCCACTTCATTGGGTCCCAAAGGAAGAGATGCTTTTTCGTCTTCAATGAATTCCAAGGAATCAAGTAGCCCTGGTGTTCTCACGTCGACCTTAACCGCAGGCAAATCTCCAAATTTCTGCTCTCGTCGAGGATAGTTGGTTCGAACGTAGATATGGTCATTGAGAGGTGCGGCTGTTGAAAGACGGTTGATGTGCAGACATCCATCCATTTCCACGTATTCAGGCTCGAAGTCTCCCATCTCTTTGTGGGAAACAGTAAGATGGAACACGCGGGCGATATTGCAAGCAAAATTCTTCGTTTTGGTTCTAGGGGAGACGTCCAAGGCAAGGGTGACTAGCGGTACGTTCGGGTTTTCTTGTCGCGAAACTCTGCAAAGACCTTCCACCATACCACAGGCGGGCGTCACCGGGCCTTGTCTCCCTCCAGGCATCACCCACAGCAAACTTCCAGCCGAGCAAAGAATGGTTTGAAGAGCCGAGAGGCCATCGGAAGTGAGATTGCGAAGCAGAGGGGCACTGAGATCATGCATCACAATATAATGGTATGCATTCTGGTCCAATAACGATGCCGCCTGCTCAAAGGTCAAAATTTTGGAGAGATTGTACCCGAATTTTCGAAGCTCTTGGCCAAGGTACTGAGACATGACACGTTGGCTTTCCGAATTGCTCTCCACGATCGCAACAATCTCCCCGGGGAAAGGACGAACGGCAGCTACAGGCTTTGCGGTCGAGATTATGATGCTATAATCGTGGAATTGTTCGTCTTCAAAATCCCGGAATATGATGTCAGTGCCTGAGAAACCATTCTCCTTCAAAATCTGGTCCCATTTCTCTTCGGAGACACATGGAGTCTCTGGGCTCTTGGACCACCATTCCGGGAGCAATCCATTGGCGAAGCCAGGTCGCACGGCGTCCCCAACTGTTATTTGTCCCAAGATGAGCTTTCCTCCTGGCCTCAGCAGTTTCTGGGCATTGCGGATAGTTTCACCGCTGTCTTTGTAAGAGACAAGTGCGCTCGTAGCTACGACGACATCATAGCTCCCTTCCTTCAAACCCTGGTTGACGATGTCTTTCTCCAGATCCACGACATAGTATGCCATTCGGCTATATGGCTTAAACGTTTCCCTTGCCCTGTCAACAAAGAATGGTCTCGAGTCTGTAAAATCATATTGCCCGTAGCTAGGAGCGCTGGGTTGCGATGCAAGAGTTTCTTGGAGCATCGCGGTCGTGGCGCCTGTGCCAGCACCGATTTCCAGTATCTCCATGCCGGGATTCTTATGGGCTAGGGCTTCGAGGTATTTACCAAGGGCATTAAAACATCCAGAGCCTTCAGTCAACTCACGATGAAAATCATCAAACATATATTCGTCGCTGAAGAGAACGTCCAAAGGATCAATGTCGCCAGAAAGTATATTCGGCAGATGATGCCCAATACGCATGAAAAGCTGTCCAAGACTGCTTGAAGCAAGATGCTTACAGACGTAGCCCAGGTAAGTTGGGTCTTCGATTTGTGCGCGACGCTTGGCGGCCTCTTTTACTGATAGTGAAGATAAATCATCGTCCAGCGCCATCTGAAGCCAAATAGCGTAATCTTCCATCCGAGGACATGGTAAACGATTTTGGACACGGAGTTTTCTCAAGGCAGCGGAGCCAAAGGCAAGAGCCATGAATTCAGCATCTTTGTATCTCTCGGCGTTTTGCAAATCTGGCCGGGCCAATGTCTTGCAGTACTGCTGGATCTGACTTTTGTCCATGGTTTCAGGATCCCACTTCCAGGTCATGTTATAGCATAATTGTCTTGCTTCTTCCTGGGTGTCGGCATTGGTCTGTGTTGAGACAGCAGTCGCTTCAAATCCATCGACGTGAACCATGAGTTGGCCTTCGTTGTCAAGTACAGAGACCAAACCTCGGGCACTGCGCTTACTGAATTGGTGTGACTTGGTATACGCCTCGAGTGAACCTTTGAAAGGGGTTCCTGCTCCGGTGTTTGAAACCCAGACTTTGTCGATACGGGACGGCACCATTGTCTGAACGCCAGCTGCGCTCCCTTTACTCAAAGCAACGAATATCATCTGGAAAATACCATCCAGAGTAGTGGGATGAATTACATGGCGTTGAGCTTCTGTTGCCGCAGGGCTTTCAAGATCAAATAGGGCAACTCTGGCAGTTGCCTCACCATCCTGACTATATCGAATGTCGTGGAGAGGTTGAAATGCCGGGCCATATTCTAAACCCATCTCTTTCAACATACGGTACAGATTGGAAGACTCGATCAGCCCGTTGCACCTGTTAGCAGCGCCGGAGTGATTTCTTCTTATCGTATCCAAGAACATTGGTCCTTCTATGCCATGGTCAACTTCAGACTGTGTTTTTCCATAGTCCGCTCTAATGGATCCCGTACAAAGTTCGGTCCAGCCTTCATCCGTCTTGTGGACATACATCCGATAATCATACCATGTTGATTTCGAGTTCGAGGAAGTTGCGGTTGGGCGGAGGCAGATTTGCGTCTCGACATTCTCCTTTGAAGTGGAGATGAGAAGTGGGGAATGGAATACGGCGTCCTTTATTTCGTAGCCCAAAGGAGGATCATTCCCCGTCAATTGTTTTGTCGCTTCAATCGCCATAGCAAGCATTCCAGCTGCGGGGTACAAGATGGAGCCGTTCACTTTGTGGTCTTCTACCCAGGGAAGTTCATCTGACCGGATAATAAGCCTCCACCTAGGCTCAAGTTCATTGTATCCGGGGGCTTGGTTCCCTAGAAGCTCATGGTTGAGATTCTCTCTGAATCTGAACTCCTTGTTCATCTGCGACTCTTCCCAATACACCGTTGAGTGGTTAAAAGGGTAGTGGGGAAGATCGACCAATACACGCGGCACAGTTGAATCTTTCGATTCCAACAAATTCAGAGCATTTATATCCACAGAGATGCCCTGGCAATGCAGACGGCCGGCGGTAGCGAGCAGCGATTCCACGGCTGAGCGATTTCGGACTAAAGCAGAGGCGTAGCTCACTTCGCCGGCTCTATTCACAGAAGCGAGTATATCACGAATTGGGCCTTGAAGTGCGGAATGAGGTCCAATCTCCACCAGAGCATGCGTAACAATTTCTCGGAGATGACTTCGGTCCAGCTTCTTGGTGGGAGATGTTGAGCCCGGACGCGAGCAGCATTCTTTCATTGCTCCTAAGAAGTTGACCGGTGAGACCATGTTCTGCACCCAGTACTCACCAGTACACAAAACATCAGCATCGATGATTGCGCCAGTAACTGAAGACACCATGATAGTCTTTGTCTTACGAGTTCCTCTTGTCAGGTTATCCATTGATGCCAGATATTCACCGGCAATTTCTTGCATTTGGGGCGAGTGATAGCCAACATCTACCATTAGCTTTCGCGCGAACACATCGGTCTTGTCATAGTGCGCAACCAAAATGTCAAGCTGGGCATCTGGACCCGACACTGTGACATTCTTTGGGCTGTTGATGCAGCTGATAGTAAGCGAATTCAGTTCCAGCCCCTCTTGCTTCAGCTTCTCCAGCTCTGTAAAGAATTGGGCTTGAGACAACCCAATGGATGCCATCCGATGCTTAGATTTCGCTTCCCGCGCAAGCTTCGAAGCAAGGGCCCCTCGGCGATATGATATCTTCATTGCGGACTCCATGGATAGAGAACCATTACAGTAACTGCGAGCAAGTAAGATAATATTCGCAACAGGGGAAATAAGGATACTCACGCTGCAGAAATTTCTCCAGAAGAGTGCCCGACGACTACAGAAGGAACTACGCCAGCAGACTCGAATAGATCGACGAGTGCAAGCTGCACAGCTGTACATAAGGCTTGACTGAACTCGGGCTCGTTTATTCGCGACGTCGACTTGTCTCTCGCAAGTTCCACTATCAATTCGAATTAGCAGGGCGCAAAACACCTCGGGAACAAGACGCCCATACCTGTTAGTAGCCAACTGCAACCGAGTTTTTGCAAGTGATTCTGTGCTTTAAGGAGACTGGCTTTGAAAACTGGATACACCATGAGTTCACGACCCATGGCGTACCATTGAGCTCCTTGTCCGGTGAAGACGAAACCCAAATTTGGCTTCTGGCCTGAAGCTTGTAAGGGCTTAGAAACTATCTGCTCCATCTCAGCGAGTTCTGATATTGAACTAGCCACAAGGTACGATTTCCAAGGCAGTGCACTGCGGCGACTGTTAAGTGTGAAAGCGAGATCTAAAAGCCGTTGGGTATCGTCATTTCGACCAGGCTCGGCAAAGTACTGGCTATAGGCTTGGGAAAGCCGACGCATACCTGCTTCATCTGCTGATGAGAACACCAATAATTTTGGTATCAATTGATCGGTGTTCACTGAATTGGTGAACGTATTGTGACGTTGAATCAGTGCTGACTTCACAGTGCAGTGGTTTGCAACCAGATTCCTCGCAAGAAGGTAACTGCGAACATCTTCAAGAACAGCATGTGCGTTTGTCCCTCCGAAACCAAATGAATTCACGGAAGCTCTTCTAGGACCTTCAGAAGGCCAAGGTGTACATTCGAGGGGAAACTGCATGCGTTAGTCAAAATGCGGTGGCGCTATCAGAAGTGTGATAAGTACCTCGAGCTGGAGAAAGTCTGCATCTATGTTGGAATTTAAATTCTCAAAGCTGGCGTTCGGTGGAATGAGTCCCTTTTCTAGAACGAGAATGGTTTTGATAAGACCAGCCAAGCCACTGGCACCTTCCAAGTGGCCAAGGTTTGCTTTCACGGCACCACTAAATTGAAGCGGGTAAGTTCATGCCATGAAATATGTTGTACGGGTCTAAATATCCCAGTGTGTCAGAAACTTACATGAGCAGCGTTTCCTTTCCGGGTCTTTGGTCCCGGAAACTGTCGCCGATAGCTCTGGCCTCGATTGGATCTCCAATTGCGGTTCCGGTGCCTTTTTTGGTCAACATTGAGTCATTTTCAATCATTCATTAACTTCACGTACCATGTGCTTCAAAAAAGCGTGTCAAGCCCATTCCAAGCCCTGCTTTTCGGTACGTGTCCGTGATCAAAGCTGCTTGTGAGACTCGGCTAGGCTGAGTTACACCTCCAGGAGTGTTACCATCTTGGTTGACACCCGTTGATCGAATCAGCGCTCTAATGGTATCACCATCTTGGATGGCATCGGATAAACGTTTCAGGATTAGCACCCCGAACCCCTCTCCTCGTCCATAGCCATTTCCTCTTTGGTCGAAACTAAAGCACTGACCGTCTTTGGAGAGAAAGCTCATAGATGACAAAGCAATATTCAACTCTGGGGATAAAATGAGATTTGAACCCGCGACGACTCCCTACTCCAATTAGACTTTGTTCAAAATTGAAGACAGGTGCAATTTTGACATACCATTCGAGACTGTCCCGTCCACAGTCCTTGGCACGACAAGTCGAGCGCAACCAAGCCACTTGAGCACGCCGTATCAACGGTCATGCTAGGGCCACCCAGATCAAAGAACCAGCTTATTCTGTTTGAAAGAATCGAACCAGCGGTCCCTGTTGCACTGTATTTGGGAATTTGTTGTGCATCTCTCCAGACCATAGTTTTGAAATCACTTGTAAATGAGCCAACATGGACAGAGGCATCGGAGCCTCTGACCGCTTCCATGGGTATCCCAGCTATTCTATGATCAATATCCCTGCGAAAAGTTCGTGGGGTAATCAGTACGCACCATTCTCCAATGCACGATATGTAGTTTCTAACAGTCCTCGCTGTTGGGGATCTATTGTTGCCGCTTCTAAAGGGGGGATGGAAAAGAATGGTGCGTCAAACGCTCGGAAATCTTCACCCAGGAAATGCGCTTTGCGAGTTGAAATCTTTGTAGTTCTATTAGCATTTGATCATGGTCAGATATGAGCGCAACCGTACCGTATTTCGCTTTCCTGCCTCTGGACTGTGGAAAGCATCAATGTTCAATCGGTCCTCCGGAAACTCAGTTGCCGCACAGCGCTTCTCTAATAACATCTGCCAAAACGACTCTTCTGTGACGGCATCTTGTGGAAACTTCATGGACATTCCAACCACAGCGATTGGCTCGAGAATACCGCCATCAAGCCCCGCGCTCTCTTGCGCAGGCTGTGAAGTCTCAGCCATTTTGTGTAGCTCTGGCTCAGTAAAAAGAAAGTAGTTGTGGGGGTTAAGTGAGACACAACTGAAGTGAGACACAAAGAAGGTTCTCCCCGCATTTGCCTCTAACGTTCAACGGCGGGATGGCGTTGGTGTTGGAACTGGTGTTGGTTTGGCGGATATTAGGTTTATCTTTCGAGACAAAAGTTCGGAGTGCTCCACCGTCCACGTTCCATGTAAAGTGGCTCGACCCAAGTAATGTGCGTACAAGGGCATGGCCAGAAATAAATGGAACCAGATATGACTCCCCAGCTTCCTCGTGGCGTCAACGCAGCTTTGTAACACCATTGAGGAGGTTTAACCAATCACTCTACGGGAGGATCCCAACGCATTCACGGGAACATCCTATTCTGTAAAACCATTGACAAGGTATTACCTAAATGAGTGAAAGCAGGGGAGCTATTCTGCAAAGCCAACGACAGGGTATTACCCAAATGTAGGAGTTCAGGGGAGTGCCAGACAAGGGAGCAAACAGTATAAGTTCATTACGGATGGCCCCCTCGTGTCAATATGTTTCTGACAAACTCTACGCCACTATCACTTTTGTTCAGAGGTACTTATTCCTTCGCCTCGGTCCGTTATTGTGCTCAAATTGATAACGGACAAGGTCCTTGATCTGGAAAGATGCGTTTTCTCTGTCTACATGGCATAGGAACAAACAGTCAGGCATGTGTTTTTTGAATTTCGCTTCGGCTTCCTCTTCCCGCCCCGCTTCCCTTCTCTACAAGGTTCTGACTAGCTGCAGGTTCTCGAGACCCAAACTGGTACGTTTGAGCAGGGTTCATATGCAGCCCCTTGTACATCATGGCAGGTGCTTTGATTCCAATAGTCCGATCGCTGATTGCATCTTTGCAGCTGCACTCCGCTATGAGCTTGGGGACCAACATACTTACGAATTTGTCGAGGGCACCATTCCATGGCCAATCGCACCAGGTATGCTTCGTTCTTACATCTTTTATTCTTGGCCTGTCAGACTGTCACTTCTTTGGAAGGAGCCAAGTCTTGACAAGACCATGCTGACACTTTAAATTTACGTAGAGATCTCAAATCTGTTTAACCCAAACGATCGCTACTTTTCCTATTTCGATCCTAGCTCGGCGTCTTCCGCCCGAGATGCTCTTCACCAACTGGACGAATACATTGAAGCTGAGGGACCGTTTGACGGAGTCTTAGCCTTCTCCCTCGGCGCTTGCCTCGCGGCTATGCATATCATACGGAAGGTGCGGCTGGATGCCGGAAAATCCAAGGCCCCTCCATTCAAATGTGCTATATTCTTATCTACAGTGCTAGTGCACGACCCTGTTGCAATAGAGAGTGGCGAGATCAAGGCTTTAGATCCCAAGGAAGCTGGACAGCCGATTCAACTGCCCACCGTTCACATCTGGGGCGCAAAGGATCCACGTAAAGGGGATGGCGAGCTGCTGAGAGGATTGTGTGATCCTCAAACGGCGACAGGCTTCATTCATGGGGGTATGCACGAAGTGCCCGGGCTGGGAACCAAGGTTGCAGTCACTGAAACGGTCAAGGCAATGCGAAGAGGAATCTCCAAAGCTTCAATAACACACTGAAGTAGTTAGTTAGCGCCTATAGCTTTCGAATCTACTACTTCTTCTCCACCATGATCGGTTTCTTTGTCCACATCAACAAGGTTGACGGTATCTGCGCAGCGCCGAAACCAATCATGATCTTCATCTGCAAATTATATCCCCTTCCAAAAATGTGCCTCACTTGCTCCTGAATCTCTGGTGGAAACTTGGCGATGACGTTGGTTGTTTCCAAAAGGAGCTGAACCTGTTCCGTTGGTAGAATACGTTCCAATTCGGACCGTATTACCCTGTTCATGACACTCGTAACGACCGCAAGGATTGCCATTCCGCCCAAGACTTTGAATTGTGCCACAGCACCAGTTCCCACCCCTGAATATATTAGAAAAAGGATTGAAACTTTAGACGCTCCACTTACCAAGATCTCTCTTCTCCACGATGAATGGTACGAGGAGAGTCAATGTGCCATTGAAGAATCCGACTCCAGTTCCAGCCAGAATCTGAAAGACATACTGCGGTGGCCATATTTTCCAGGTTGTAGGCGTCACACAGAGACCGGCAGTCCCAGCGACCTCCAAAAGCCCGCCTGCAAACAAGAAATAGATGGGTGGAATCCTCGTCTTTCCAATAATAAGTGCGCTAATGACAGCTCCCATGGGAACCATGATACTGAAAGGAATCAATCGCGTTCCAGCGACAAATGCCGAATCCCCGTTGACAGTTTGAAAGCGTTGCGGGATCTGAATAGTCGCAACCGTAATGATTGTTCCCGTGAAGAATGTGTTGCTGTACTCATTAGTTAATGTACTCAGATGGGTGAAGAGTGAACCAACAGAACTAGCCCTATGCAAACTCTGCTCTTAATGAAGCGCCATGGAAAAATAGGTTCCGGGAGCGTTCTCTTAGTGGTGACAAACCACGACCATGCTACGAATGCAACCCACATCACACCAGAGATGACCAGTAAGGGTAAGACTACAGCCGCCGCAAAAGATTTGCCATCCGCTGCCTGTTGTAGAGCGGTAATAAGTAACACACTAGCACCTAGTAAAAGCATGGCACCTAATCCATCAACTCTGTTGAGCGACTGGAAGGAAAACTTCGAGGGAGGCGGATTGTTGGACAATTGTGCCAAGTAGCGCTGGTTAGGGAAAACGGTTGGCATAAGAATAATCAATCCCAAAAGAGACAGAGCACCAAGCGGGCAGCTTGATTCGGTATGTCAGCGCCGATTCAACATAAAACTGGTGGACTCACTTCAGTAGGAAAACCCATCTCCACGTAGTGTGGTTGTTGATAGCTCCACCTATGAGCGGCCCAAAGGTTGTTGACATTGTAATCGACATGGTCACAATAGCCGTGTACTTTGGAAATGCATGAGGTGGCACCATCTCGAAGAAAATGATAATGACAAGAGAGTAGACACCCGAAGCACCTAGACCTTGTAAACATCGGCATACGATCCTAAATTTGCATTAGAAAAGAAAGCAGCCGGCCATCCATAACCGAATACTGACAGCTGCGTAAGAGTTTGGGCTGCTCCACAGCCACCCGAAAAAGCTGTGAAGATGAACAGCGATGCGAGCAACAATGGCTTGCGGCCATAGATATCACTCAATTTGGCCCATATGATAACAAAGCCTATTTGGAACGTTTAGTGTTAATGATATGATTTCGGGCTTTAGCGAACTCACCACTGTATGTGAGCAAAAAGCCCGTAAAAATCCAAGAGCTCATGGAAAATCCACGAAGCTCATTTGTAATAGCGATAACTGATGTACTAACAATCGTAGCTTCCATTTGGACTGCAAAGAGTGCTAGCAGAAGCCTGAACAGAATTGTCAGCTAATTTCATTATCACAAGTTTGAGACGGGTAGTAGCATACGCAGCGCTCAGAACGTGAAGCTTCCATCCCGTCAGGTATTCGCTGTCAGGAATCTTTTCTCCGAATGCTGCATCTGCAATATCCGAAGTTTCTTCGTCGTGATTGCCGCTGGTAACAGAGACGTTGGTTGTATCTTGAAGCATGATGTCTTTACTATCGGAATGGCGATGCGCCATCGAGGCACTTCCAGCCTCCAGGTGGTTACGCGGAAATTCCAGCTGTGGGGAATTTCCAATGGTCTTGAGTCGAGAAGAAATTAGACTCTATTTATTCCCACTTAGTACGAACAGCGTTATTCACCAGACGTATTTGAAGGCCATGAAATTGATGTTGGCCCCCTGGCTTTGAAAGGAGGACGTTAGGAAGTTGGCACCCCCGCTTGGTGTTTCACAACATGTTGGGTCAACTCAAGAATCAACAGTCAAGAGTCAAGATTCCAATGCGGATGTGGCACAGCATATGATTCGGCATTTTTACCTGGTAGTCCCCGGTCGGATGTGGGGTATTGACAGCGGAAGACGGATAAATACAACTGCAAAGATGAGTGGTTGGATCGGTTGGCGGTTATGTGGTACAGGGTACGGTAGTAACGGTACGGACATACAGTAATATACAGAGTATTCTCCTGTATAGTACTCGAGCCAAGACCAACCAAGCATCCCATCCTGCAGTGCTACCACATACAGTAATCGCCAAAGAAAGCCGCCCAACGGTCACCACGCACGGGAATCACTTCCTTCCCACTAATGCAGTAATGTAGTATTGCAGCTGCAGAAAGCGCCGTATCCGCTAGTCTTTCGGATGTGGCCCCGTCAAATCCTACTCTCTACGGAGCATCAATCGGAGCACAGTGTTCGCTTCCTGGTTCTTGGGTAGATGGAGTCGTACAAAATAAAGTGTGTGTGTGTGCAGCAGACGACGCCTTGCGCCAAGCTACCGTATCTGTCCGCATATCATACAAAAAGGAAGAACGTCAGTGCCACAATATCTTGATTCGGCGGGTGAAGTGCACCGTACATTAGAAGCTGAGGTTAACGCTGCGGGCGGGTGAAGAGAGAGAGATCCACATGTCTCATTTGCACCTGGCATCCATGTACATGTACTTCGTACCGTACTCCATACGGACAGTACGAAGTACTTCTAGAATGTTACTTGCATCAAAGGATTGAGATGCTGGCAAAACTGCTAAAAGCCGCAAATGAAAGCCAACTGTAGGGTTCAACTGCGGGTCGCCGGGGAGCGGTCTCCTCCGCCTAATATAGTAGGTAGAATCGCAATGGATCCACTGATCGCTCAAAGCAATGCAGCCCCCTGTCCAAGCATGAAGTCTCGGCCGATCAGATTTTACTCCGTAGGGCTCGGAGTGAGTTTCTGGCAGGTGGCGATTGGAGATTCGAGCTTATCAGGCCTTGAAGATCTTTGGCGAGCCCAACATACGGCGGACGTACTCCGTATAAATACCCTGCGGTTGGATCATTAGTCGTTACCAAACTTCCATCACGAGGTCCGTATTATGCGGACACCATTTTTCCGCGTCATGTTGTAAATATAGAACTTCAAATTCTCCAAGTTTCGCAACGAAAAGCCAGTTCAATCGACTTTCGTGCGAGTTGTATACAGTATTAGCTTCAGAACTAAGTCCGTCGACTGAACAATGCGCATCCCCACAATTCTTTGTCTGCATGTCATTAGAGCGCAAACTACAGTACGAAGTAAGTAAAGGCCGTTGCCAAGTCTTACGACGCGATCAACTCACCACCGAGCCCACAAAACAGAGCTCAAACGCGAGCAACGATTAGTGTAAGCTCCAAGCTCCAACGTCAAACCTAACATAGTTAGAGTTCCCGTTGACCCGCTGCCAAATCTGAGTTTAATCGCACGGGATCTTGACCCGTGCCCGTGCTCGATCTTTTGAAGTCTGACATTCCGTACTAATAAGCATACTCCGTAGACCCTGTAGCTAATTTAATCCTACCATGTAGATTTAAGTAGAATGTAGTAAGATGGAGAGGTAAATCCACCGTGTCAAACTTCTCAACATTCAGGATCTAACTATACTAGCATTCGAATAAGGGAAGCGAGATACCGATTTAGAAATTGGAATTCTAGAGGGTTTAAGGAATCCATATGTTTGAATCCCTCTCATAGCTCGCGGATAGTAGCTTAATTAATATTTCATTACTAAGCAGGCACGTCTTACTACACCCCTGCTCTAGCGAATAGACATATTCTTTTGCGCTGCTATTAATACCAGTATTGGAGAATTCAATGGATAGTATCACTACCTCCGCATATCCAGGGAAGGATAGAGGCTTAAACCATAGCGATAAAGAATCATGCGTTCTACACAGACTTTGCGTAATTTAATGTTTATTGAAGGGGGGGTAACAACAAAGGTGGAGATGTAAAGGGATTACGTATACCATTTGACATAAAAGCCTCCACTTTAGAGTCAAAAGGCTATCTTCACCCTGTTCGAAGCTCTCTTGAAAGATAAATGCACCTAGTCACCGAGCTTCACAGACCCTTATGCGATCCTGCCAATTTCGCAAGGGGCCTGGCCACTTTGGACAACAACCCCACTGTGATATAGACGACTTATATGCAGGAGAGAAAATTACTCTTCACTCACGAGTCACGATGCGCTCTACTTGCACTCATTTCATTTTAGCTTGGTCAAAACTCTTATCTTGTAAATGAAGTAAAGCTAAACTGTGGGAGTATTGAAACTTCTCTGCTTTCTTTAGCGCTCTCTCAGCTACGTCCCCCGATAATAGATTCACGCCTCGTAGAAGCCTAATTACAACGCTGCAGCCGCAAGGTATCGATTCCTAAATTAACACACCTTGAGGATTAGCAAACTTCGTATGGCCGATATGTTATAGGCAGTAAAGAAGTACCCTCGTACTCCGTACGGCGCAGCCTTACAACCCCCAGCCTGGACCGAGGATGTGGCCCTGGCTCAGATGACACGTTGACTGCATCAAACTGTTCCTTCTTGCGCAATCATTGGACGCGTGATCGAACGTTTTTCCAATCTGTCAATGATCCGACCCGTGTTCTTGGAATCGCTCCCTGTAGAAAAAGAATAGAAATGTAATTCCGTCATGCAAGTAGTAAGTACTCCGTACATACCAATGCTTTGTGATCACGGTAATATTGCGGATCCTGAATGGCCTAATGCCCTGTCAGAGTCTTCCCCAGGAAATCATTGGCCCGTTCTTTACAGATTTAAGCTTGACTGACACTCCTTACCACTTGTATTCCACTTTTAATAGACGAGAAAATAACACTTTCCTACTCCGTCCAGTTTTCCTGCTCAGCTTAGATCATACCTTGTAGGACTTCTATAGTTGAATAGTGATCACGAAGTCACGCTGTGCCGCACTGTCTTTTCTGTATTTGAATTCAACCATTAGTAGTTAACCCACAAGCCCCACGGCCCGATCCGGGTACATTGCTTTTGCTCCGATACTGGCTGGTACTTCTTTGTTCAAATTGAACGGGATTTCGACTTTCTAAATTTTGATCTTCTTACACTTCTACTGCTCTCTCACTCCTCAAGTGGCGTCTTCTCGATCAACGCCATGGCTCTTCCAGCGGGGGTGTCGATGATGCAGGCACTTGAACAGCTTAACTCGACAGGAAGGCTTGCTGGAAAGCTTACACCCGAGTACTTTGCCGCCAACGAAAGCTGGAAGGTTACCAACACTGTCATTGCGTTGGCTGTTCTTGAAGTATTATTTATTGTGCTGTTTTTCTTTTCTCGGATCAGGATAGGGACGGCGAACGGGTTGGACACCTACCTCATGGTGCCGGCCTTTATTGTTTGTTTTGCCCATCTTATTTTATGCTGGTGTGAGTTCCAAAGTTGTAGGCCTATTCAGCCTGCGTTTCCCTCTTTCCCCGCCGTAGAGTTTCCAGACTAACACCCTACCTAGTATTTGTAAAATATGCAGGTCTAGGCAAACACTGGTACGCTATTGAACCACATGAATGGGTTATGTTCTTAAAGCTTGAGCTTTCTTTATCGATGCTTAATCCTCCTGCCCTTACGCTTCCGAAACTCGCCATTTTGTGTCTATACCTCCGAGTGTTCACGACCAAACCGTACCGTTGGGCCGCCTACTTTATAGGCGTCGTCCTTATTATTACGTGGATCGTATATTTCTGTGTACAGATGGTCATGTGTGTGCCGTTCGCATATCAGTGGGACAAGACTATCCCAAATGGAAAATGTCTCAATCAATTCGCCATCTTTGTGTGGATCGGATTGCCTAGTATTGCAACTGATCTCATGATTATCATTCTTCCTCTACCTATTATATGGAGACTTCAAACATCCATCAATCAAAAGATTGGGCTTACAATAACATTCCTTACGGGTAGTGTGTAAGTTTACCTTCTACACAATTTCAGGATTCTAGATCGAGACTAACATGACTTCCAGGGGAATCGTCACCGCTATCGTCCGCTTTGCTGTCTTTTTGAGACTCACAAAGCCAGAGCTGGACTTGAGCTGGACCGGTGTTGATGTCGTGTTGTGGGCAACGATAGAACCAAGTGTATACTTGATCGCAGCGTGTTTGCCTTCGTTGCGCTCCCTTCTAAACCCCGTATTCAAAGAGTTTGACATGGAAGCTCTCCGAACTCGGTTTCGAATCAAAGACGACAAAGCACCCCCGAACGATATCATAGAAAATATACACCTCTCGGGCATCACGGCGATAAACTCGAGTACTGCGGCGGGTCCTCTCAGTCCGAGCGCGCGGTCTGGGTTCAAGAGACTAAATGAGCCGGCCTGGCCGAACAGCAGCTTCTACAATGGAAATAAAGACACCGGGATGTCGACTTGCTATCGAGAACGAGATTCGGAAGACAGTGGAGAGGGAGGTAGAGCGCATTCACAGACGGAGTTACAAGGAGAAAGTCAATATAGTTATGGAATCGTGGTTCAAAAGGCATTTACAATATCTACAGAACCTATACGGAAATAGGATAGGTCGATAATTAATGTCTTTACGTTTAACATTGTCATTTACTAGAACCTTTGTACGTGCGCCGAAACTCAATCCCCCCTCCGCCACCGTAATGTATTTTTCGTAGCGGTCAATAAATCTTTCTCGCGAATATGACGGCCTGTAGAATACATTATTAGTAGACGGGACTTTTGAATGTGACAAGAGAGGTCACGGAATTCTTAGTGCTGAGATTTACAAGTAACCGGCAAACTGTTTTACGAACTTCTATATTTATCTTCCTCTCTAATATCTCATGCTTAATGCTATGTTGCCCAGGCCAAGTATCAACTTCCCTACCCCTCCAGCAATACCCATCACCGTGTAGAAGGCCTAGCTTTGCCCATATCCAAGGCCATTAGAATTTCCCCTTCTATGCGCACGCCAGTACAGGCATCCAAATCTTTCATTACAATCATGAGGACAGCTCTTACTGCGAGGACAAATCTCGATGTGTTCCTTGCATATTATGATCTTTGTTCGCCGCAGCCGTGTTTGGTGGCCTGCGCATTGGTGCCATTCGACTAATTTTCTCTCTTCGACTTTTTGTTTGGAATGGCAGCTGCCCATTTAAAGGTTATATATCTCTGACGATCTTGTTTCGACGATGTTTTAAAGAAGCTGAGATAGGGTATATGTTTTCTGTCGAGAGTTGAAAGAGTTGGTATGGTATATGGAAGTGGTTTGCTTGATAAAACAGCTGCACCTTTTAACTACGACGATGGGCGTTCAGCATTATAGATTATTATGACAAACATCTAATACAAGTGCGTAGTCAAATTTGAAGCGTCTTTGATTCTTCATCGTCCAGTTGCACAAATATGCGCTTCAGTATACTCGCTGTAGACAAGGTCATTAAATCTCCGCAGTCCATTTGCGCAACATTCGTGCTTTATTGACCGTCAACACTTACATATAATGGTTTGAGGTGTTTACTACGTGGACATCTAACTTAGCTATGAATTTTGTAATTATGTGGACATCTATCAGTATCCGATCACTGGTTGAAATCTGTACGGTATGTAGAGTCAACAAATTCCAAAGATTGGGCTGTAAAGTCCTCTCGGATTGTTCAACGAGCCACATCTTGACTGTAAGATGCTTTTGAGGTAACTTTGCCGTCTGAATTATCTCTCTGCGGACAATCTTCAACTTTTCCAAGCGATAATAACGTCTCATTTGTGTCACGGAAAATAAATGGGAGTCGCTTGGTTGAATGGCGGCTATTCAGATGGCATTCAATAACTACAATCGCTCCTGTGATTCAAGCGGCCTACCTTATGAGTCGTGTATCAAGGCTCAACATGTCTCTCTTAAGACCTTCCAGATTTACCCGCTGCCTCACCCAATAGCAGCCTATTGACCTGAATTTTGAAGTGTCAGGAGTACTGTCCAAGTCTGTTCACCTCTCTAGACCACTTTTCGCCGCGCGCATCATTCGCGGGTTTCTTCTTCTGTCCAATGACTCGACATTGGAAAAGCTTCTTTTGTTAGGACAACGATCGATGTGTAATTCGCACGTCGGCTGGGTTGGCATGGCCTATACAGGAAACATTTGCGGTCGGCTGTCGTTCTTTGACCCGTAATTCCCCATGGTGCTTTAGACAAAACCTCCGTTGCTGCGATTTGGGTAAGGTCAGGTGCTTAGCAAGACATCATTGGCGATGGTAGCAAAGCCTGAGTTTGTTCTGTAAAGGTCGGCTATCAAGAGATATAGGAACGTTTCCAATAAATGGTTGAGGTGAAGATTATTATATTAATGCTTTTAATTTCGTTTTCTTTGGTGTCATTGAGGTAGCGGTCCCCAGATAACTCTCACGTGGTATTTTTACACATCCAGTGGTACTTGATTTACTGCTTAAGCATTTAATGTTCGCAATTGAAGAGTGCCCATTGTTGTTCCTTCTATCCATATGAATCCGCCCAGCAGAATGTGTTCCGCCATTTAGGTATAAACGAAGAGATGCTGTAAATCCGATATAGGTTTTCCTTGAAGTTCCAGAATAGAGTATTCTTTATTAGAATTGATCTTACTTGCAGATTAAAGGGTTTTCATTTGCTAAAGCTAAAAGCAATCTTTATTGATCGCTTCCGCCAAATGAACATTCTTGTACAGTGGTTTTCACAACGCAAATCCTTGCTGTCATGGTATCATATCCAGTGTGTATATATATATATATATTATAATCAGAACTTGGGGAAAGAGCCTTGTGATACTACAAGCGCAGCACATATTATACACATTGTCTCTTCGCATCTGCCAATTGAATCTGCTTGCAGACGACCTTTTCCTATAAGTCCGTTTCTTACAGCTATTCCCTCTTCTTGTTATATCCTCAGAAAGGGACATCAATCCCTCTTTCGACAAGATTCAATAGAGTATTACACCCACTACTGTTCCACAATCGAAGTCATTAATAATCTGTGGTGCACGCGCGCCATATGAAAATGGAAGATTATTCAGTGGTCTCTTTCTTTTGGCTTCTCTGACTAATCCGAACCTTGGAAACGAACTTTTATGAGAAATGGCTTGTCATGAGGGGTTACATGGATTAGTCGATGACAAAAAAAACCGTCACTAGATACAAACTAGGTAGACCGGTTACTCTCTTAAAGCCCAGGTATAAAGTTTCAAAGCCCCCACACAAACCTAAAATGTACTTCCGTTCAACCCATTACTAAACAGCATGAAAAGGTTTCTAGGAACCTTGAAATTCACCGACGAGGAGAAACACTGGCGCAGGATGATGCTCGCATGCAAAGGTCATGGAGCCCTAAGTAAAGATGGAAAGTTTGAAGAAGGCAGCCACCGGATGCATCTGCAGAACTGTGGGAATAGAGGTATCTGCTGCCCCCATGAATGTGATGAGTGTCGTTCACTGCGGGGAAGAGAAGCAGATAGCCATAAATGGTTAATGAGGTTTCAATGAGAAATGCAAACTTAGTCGCTGAATCTGAAATATTTTTTCTGGGATGCATTTGATGTCATAGAAGCTGTGTCATAGGAGCGAAAGTCATGGCTGGTGATTGCCCCCCTGAATCATAAGCGGTGAATGCTTGGCATTTTAACCCCGCCTCCTTTTTAAGCGAAGATGATGATCTGGTGATCCTTGCCCAAAGCGTCAAAGAGCAAAGCATAGTATCAGTGTGTCAGTAAGGATTTAAACAGGAATCTGCTAACTAGTATTTCCATATTCGTTCTATTTGTCAATACAACAATGCAGGGCCTTCCTATCGATCCACGTTTGCTTTACCAGCTGCATTCCCTACCATCTCCAGTTTCACAACGTTCCTCTATTGATACGCGCCGGGCGATCAGATATCTGCTATGCGGAGTCTTCAGCTGACACGCTATGCAACCTCCCTACTGCACTGCACATATTATTGATTAAAGCTGTAAGTTGTACGACGATTGAATGTGACCACTAGCACTGCACTTTAATATCGCGTCGCTTTGCTTTAAGGCCATGCATGGATTGTTTGTCAGAATGAACTGCCGGCATGATGCAAGTCACAAAGACGCAGAGTACCGACTTTGTTTGTTCAGAATTCTTGATTTGCAAAAGTCTATTATTTCAACCCTACTATCTTCCATACCTGATAAAACACTCTGTTCGCAGGCGGTGTAGAGGCTAGGCACTCTTTATAGCTGCGGCTTAGGGGGTCTGCAACTGTTTTTGGCATTAGTCCTGCCTGACAAGACTGGAACTAAGTGCATAGGCGGTGTGTGATAAGGATGCAGGAGGTGCGGCAGACAGCTTGGGAAAAGAGGTGATATAAGGGGAAAGCGGTTAGGGAATGCATTTGACGACAAGGAGCTAATTTGAGGCTGTTTTTGACTTCTTTAGAGCTCTCACTCCTAGTTTTCAATAGGGGACATAAATATATTTCTCTAGATACACTCACTTGACGTTGTGCTAGTAGCTAGCGCCGTCGTACATGGTGTTTGACTTGTATAGGATGTTGATGGAACAAATTAACAATCAACAATAAACATTCCGTTCTCTGCCGTCATTGAGCGTCATCTAAGAAATCTAACATTCTCTATTCAAGTTAACCAACCATCCTTTTTTAAACGTATTGCAGCGAGCTTCACAGCTTCCAAATGACAATATCTTTGCAGTTTGCAAGTTGCAAGTGCATGGGTTGCTTTTTGCTGCTGACGTTTTCTTGGTTGGAGTATAGAATTAATACAAACACAAACACGAATAGTATAGCATAAGAGGGCCTCCCTATGAAATTTACAATGCTGTCAAGAAATGCTCTACTGTCATTCTGCTACTTCATTCAAAATACCTTGTATCCGCAACGTTTAAAAGTTCCAGGGCCAGGATATCTTGAAATGGAAACCGAGGACTGATTATATAATAAAGCGTTCTACTCATTCAAGTATCGAATTTCTTTTTTGCTTCTTGCTCCTCGCAGCAGCCGGGTGTGTTTTAATACTTGCTGTTATTCAACTCATAACAATCTATATTCTTTGGCAAATAAATAGCATTTAGTATGCACTCAACATCTTCGTCAAGCTTTTACGATCAATATATAAATCCATTCGCGTCACTGAATACTATGCTATGCAATTGCCTGGTCCTTGTAACCAAGGCAGAGCTATTTACTTTTGAGACTCCTGATCATTTATAGTAGTTTATTTGCGTTTTCACAGGCCCCGAGGATATGGGTCAACTGACTCTTCCCAGGCTCCAATAATTTCATCGCAGCATTATTCACTATCAAGAGATATCCTGCTGTCAGTCATATCCTGTTGTTATTCATATCCTTCCTCTACATGCTATACGACCAGCAAACCAATACCAACAACATCCCCAATCCCAACTACAAATGCCGAATATATATATCAAGAGCTATTTGGCACCACGTCACAGCGCCACGATAATCTTCACGTTCTAGTGTGTTAGCGTTCGCATTAGAAAGGCATTCATATCTATACATTATTTACCGCAAGTGCTGGAGTGCTTCTAGAAGCAAGTCCTTACTATTCAGCCAAAACTAATCTTCAACGCTGGATGGCTCGTCTCTTCTGCACACGGAAAGAGCACATGTACATGTTAATTTAAGAATAAGCCTTTTAGCAAGAACCCGAAATCGAAACCCAAAACGCTTATCTCACGAACCAGCGGGCCATGATATCTGCTTGCTCTGCATTATCGCTCGTTAAACGGTACTTTATCTACACCCGACAAGAATTATCTTCCAACTTTCATATCTTACGAGTTTCTTTTTTACCGCGCCGTTGGGAAATCTTGTCTAAAACACAAAGAAACGTACTTGTTATCAATAATCCACTGCTGCCGTTAATTCCCAGTCTTCATTTAGAAGACGTAGAATAGGATGACCAAAGGATAGATGCGAATAGGAGCTCACTCCACGGAATACATAACGCCTATTAGTTTGCAAAAAAGGGTGGAAAGTAGAGGGCAAGATCTACCAACTATCCCGAACCTTGTATGAATTCTTATTACCTAGGTACTTTCCACAATATTCCTTCTATTCGGCGTTCGTTCGCACCCGAGAGATATATAGAGCGGACGCACGCTTGTATTACGTATAGGAAAATGAAAAAGATACTTACTGTGCCTATAACTTGCATATCATACCTTCCTTCTATCTAGATGGACTAATTATAAACCCCACCCCACTCCTTACATAACAGCATTGCCCCTCCCCCTCCCCCTCCCCTCTACTCCACTCATATCATACATCTCCACTCACCACACTCCACAGCCTATCTAACCCACTTGCTTCCTAGCAATACCCGCAGTTAATGAATCCCATAATCCCATAATCCCAGAACCAGAACCAGACCCAGAACCAGAACCAGAACCAGGAGTAGGGAAAGAAAGAGAAGTTGGCTTTGAAAGACGTGTTTTGCTTTACTTTTCCCAAAAGAAGGGGAGGGAGTTGGTATACGGTGCTGTGCTATGCTGTGCTATGCTGTCGAGAAAGTATTTGCTGGTATTCAAACGGTATATATGTTCGTTTATTTATTCGTTTGGGGGGATTTGAGGAGGTGAATGATGGGATATGATGAAGCATGTTGCAATGGTAGAGCGTCAAAGAGGGTAGAAAGACGCAGCGGGTCCCGTGCTGTCCAGGAAGTGTATCTACTTTCAGCTCCACTTGTGTTGTGTTGGGGATGTAAGGAGTTGAGAATAGAGATATGGATAGTTCACATCACTCTCAAAAGAAGGCGTCACGATGGAACAAAAGCAGTATATTCAAAGAGCCACATGCACATGCACTACCAAACAACCCTTCTTACGCCCCTCAAATCATCTACATTCAGTATATCCACGCCCTCCCTAATCAGGACATCCCAAACATGATTCCTTAAGCCCAGCGGCCAAGACGGTAGATCCCAATACCTAGCTTTCAAACCGCGTCTATGCGCGCCTCTGATCTGGCCTCGGATGATCTTCATTTGCTTTGGAGTAAGGCGAGCGCGCCAGATGCGGCCGACTGCTTTGTGGAAGGAGACGGACGCGTAGTAGGAGTTTAGCTCGTTGAAGGAACTGTTTGCTGTGGTGCCGGAAAGACCTTGGCCGACGTTGTGGAGGGGCGTGGAAGGCATGTCTGAGGCTTCGTCTCCTTCGAGGGGATCGGATGAGGGATGGCGCGCTTCCCACATTGTCTCGAGGGGGGCGTCGAAAAAGGCATCGCGGTAGGTGGAGTTTGCGGTCAGGACGTCGAAGGGGGTGTTTCCTGTGCCGACGACTGTTATGGGACGTTTGTGGAGGGTGTTGTCTTGTACGAATGTCAACCAGCCTTTTTCTCGCAGCGGTTCGAGTTGTGCGAGGACCCAGGGCCAGGTTTCGGGGCCGGAGGTTTTGACATCTATAAGTAGTGTGAGGGAAACATCTGGATCGGTGTCGAATACGCCATGGCTTGTGCCGTTGTAGAATTCGGTGTTTGGGTTCTGGTCTTCCAGTATTTTGACCAGTGGATTTACATAGAGACTTTGGAAGGTTCTATTTCTGATCAAACTCGCAGTGTTATGCCCAACAAACAGCTCATTATCAAAAAGCCATACATCGGCTTCTGTGCCGGTGCAGCCTGCTCGCAAGCCCGAGAACAGTGGGACACGGCGCCAGTAGTCATTGTGGGAATGGCAGGCTATGGGGAGGATGTCCCGGGTGAAATCGGTAGGGTACCAGGAGAGGCCTTCTGAGGAAGTCCCAGGCTGTCCCCAATTTTGCAGAACGTGGTCAATGTCGGAGGTCCAGAAAAGGGAGGCGAGGATTAGGACGAGGTTTGTGGTGAGGAGGAATGCTCTGGTATGTGCTGTCAGAATTGTCTTTGGGAAGGTGGGGGAGGTAGGAAAGGGGAGGGATGAAAAGGAAGAAAGAATAGGGGAGGAAAAGGTTAAGGAAAAGGAAAGGAAGGAAAAGATCAGACATACAAGATGGTCAAGCCAGATATGCCACCAAAGATACAGTAATTGAACCACGTCCTCTGCCGAGTTCTTCTCCGCTTCACTCTCTTGGTGGAATATAACTTTTGCAATTCCGCATCCCCTTCAACGTCGCTTTTTTCTTTTTCTCTCGCCTGCCGCAGGACTTTCTTCCTTCGCGCTCGTACGGGCATTATCCTCCACCAAACGTTATCCTTTGGCCTCCTCTGAACAAATGCATCGCCATCGTCGGTGTCGAAGGAATTGAGTGGTTTGCAAAGGGAGTCGGATGTTGAGGTCGAGGAGGTATCGTCATGGTCGTATTCGGTAGTAGAAATGGGACATGGGAGGAATTGGTGGGTTTGGTGGGTTCTCAGAGAATGGGCCATGATGATTTGACGATCTCGAGAGCGACTGGACTGAACCCGACTAGGACTGGACCGGCTTGGCACTTTCTTGGCATTCAATCAATGGAGAGAGAGAGAGAGAAAGTCCAGAGAAGTGTTGCCATGAGTGAAATCCAAAGAAGGAGAGAATTTGTGCAATATGTACGTTTCCAGGGGGTGAGAGAGAGGCGCAGTGAGTTAGTTGTATTAATTCGTCGGTGGACGTGATTTTGGCGTTCCTTGGGGCCAGAATGTCACTGGTCTTGGTTGGATGGGTAAGCATATACGAGACTGACGAGTTGGAATGCCATCGAGGGAGGAGACAGTCGTAGATATATATATAGAGAGAGAGAGAGAGAGATTCACAGGTAGGTGATATACAGTATAATAGATGGGGAAAATAGAAGAAGAAAGGAAAGGCTGGTATAGGTCCCTACTTGTGTGAATAGTATGCCTCTCAGACCTTCCAGACCCCCAGCTTGTCCCCACGTGGAGAAGAGAGTGGTGGTTCTAGCGGAAGAGATAATCAAGAGTGGGGGAAATATATCTGCCTTTCTACAGTTTTTTCCGGAGGTTAAATAATTAGTTAAACCACGGTAAATGACGATATAATTATAGATCTCCTCTCCTACTGTCCTTCCTATGGTAGTGTTGGATTATCCGTCTTACTCGCCATGCTAAGCTTTTACCGGGATCGCACCGCACCGGCATATCTGAGACCCTGACAAAGTAAAAAAAACTTATCGCAGCACTCACTCACTCACTCCACCAAGAAAATCCAAACAAAATACATAATCCAAAACACCGCAACACAATCCTGAGACGCGCACAACCTTTGTCACCCACAGCTCAGACGCGCACAAGGCACAGGCACAAGCACAGTCCCCACAATGCCTCACAAACACACTCGCAAAGGTCCTACCGATAAATCCACGTTCGTTACACCACCCTGGGTACACCTCTCTTCCACATCCCAAGCTAACCTGCTCCCTCCAGCACCGACCTCCCCCCCACCACCCTCGCAACCCCCCTCCCAGTCTCCAAATCCGCCAACGAAAACGGCGTCTTCACCAGCTCGCTCACGAACACGCGACGCGGCAACAAGAAGAGAAAGCGCAATGTAGATACCGCAGATGACACGCCCAAGGCGTTTGCGCGGCTGATGGCCTTTTCGGCGGGGAAGAGGATGGCCAAGGGATTGGATGACGGGGTTCGGGTGCCGAAGAAGAAGAAGATCAAGGTGGAAGAGGATGCGGGTCTGCCCGCGAAGCAAGAAGAGCAAGCCGTGGCCAAGACGCCAATGCCGACGATAAAACCCGGGGAGCGTATGGCTGAGTTTTCAGCCAGAGTTGATGCCGCTTTGCCTGTCAGCGGGCTGATTAATAAAACGGCCAAGGGGGGGAAAGATCCGTTGGGATTGAAGGTGGGACGGACCAAGAAGGAGAAGAAGATGCAGAGGATGTATGCGGAGTGGCGGGAACAAGATGTGCGCATAAAAGAGAAGCGGGAGGCGGCGCTGGAGGAGAAGGAGATGGATGAGCTGGAGGAGGGGGGAGGGTGGACAGGTCGTTTGGGCAGATTCTAGTGCTTCTACGTCTTCGAGTAAGAAGAAGAAGGGGAAGGGGAAGAAAAAGAGGGTTGTGGGGGAGATTGAGGACGGGGAGAATGATCCGTGGGCTAAGATCCAACGGGAGCGAGGGGGGAAGGTGGCATTTGGAGATGTGGTGCAAGCGCCTCCTGTGTTTACCAAAGCGCCGAGGGAGAAGTTCAAGGTGAGGGGCGCGGGGGTGGAGGTTGGGGACGTGCCGAAGGCGAGTGGGAGTTTGAGGCGGAGGGAGGAGTTGGGGGAGGTGAGGAGGAGTATTGTGGAGGGGTAGTAGGGCGATGATG